AAAAGCCCCAATTTAACCCTTAGTTCCAAAAGGGGGAAGGGTTTAAGAAAAACCTTTCGGGGGGGGGCCCCGGTGAAAAACATCGGGGCCCCCAAAAAGATGTGGAAGAAGCCTTTTAAAAACCCGTTTTTTGAAAGAAATGGGTTTGAGCTTTTGGCTGAGAAAAAAAATAAGGAGTGATTTCATTTAAAAGTTTTATGAGAGTGATGGTATTTTTATCCGCCCACTAAGCAGTCAGAACGCACCTAGCCTTTTGGCTTTAATCCTTTGGGGGAGGGGGGGGAAATCTTTTTTTTTTATGAAAAAACTTAAAAAAAATCATTCATGTCTTCAGCCCCCCCTCGTGGGAACCAAAATATGTGTTTTGTCTATGAGTAATTTAAAAGAATTCCACCCCCAAAGGGCCCCTATTCCCCTTTTAATACACTACAAAGACCGGGGCCCTGGGGTCTGGTCAAAAGTGTTACCTATAAAAGGTCCCATTTAGGACTAAATTTTTTGCATTTGTATGACAGGACTATTTACATTTTGTTTTAAAAACCCCCTGTCCTTTGCCCTCTAGAAATTTTAGAAGTAATAATATATATATATAAAAGCCCCTGGTTGTGTGTTGGGGGGGGAAATTACAGGAGTTAAAAGCTTGCAATTTAAAATTAATTAATTTTTTGGCCCCAGGCCTTTTCCCTCTTTGTGGGGGGCAGCGCATCTGAAACAAAAACCCATCAAGCGACAGGGGGTTGGGGGGACCGGGGAAAACAAAAAGGTGGTATAGATAAGGGGTTTATTTAATTGTCAGTGTTTCCCCCTAGAACTTTTTTCGGGCCTGGTTTTAATTGCCAAACCCTGAACAATCAAAACCTTGGAATCTATACTTTGAGTTGGACATGGCGGGCAGTCAGGATACTTGCATCAAAATACTTAATTGCAAATTAAGCTGATGATGTATATTTTACGGTTGTGAATCTCCTGTCATCCCAAGAGGGGTTCTCCTTCCCCCCGGAAACACTATTGCCGGAGTTTTCCCACAACACAGTGTGAAGTTCCCCGATACAGCGCTTAAAAAAAACCGGGGAGGCGTACCCATTTTTAAACCAAGGCCAAACTCAAAACCAACTGTCCCTCTCTATGAGAACAGTTTCAGGCTTTTTAGTGGGAGTGCCCCCGTACCGTTCTTTTATGGAGAACAACCTTCAGAGCACTTTCACAGGATCCGCCTCCCCCCAAAATCCCATCACCACCCATACCTGCTGATCAGAAAAGGGCCTTTTTTCTACAGAAAGGATCAAACCTTCCCGAGAAAACATGCAGGGTGCCTGAACCTCTGGCCATGCTTCCTGAGAAGAAAAATTTCAGGGACTTTTGACCCTTTTAAACAAAGGTCATTGAGAGGTTTGCCACTCAAAGGGCAGACGGGAAAATTTCCCGTCAAATAAGATACAGACCACACAACAGACAGCTCTGGCCCCGTTTTTTGTAATAGGGGCCTTTAAAAAAAAATCCATTTTTTATGGGATCTAAAAGTTTAATAGTGCTTTGTAATATTTTCTGTTTTTTGTTTGTTTTTTTCAATTAAAAAATTTTTTCAGTTTTTGGAGCACTTAACAATTACTCACATTTAGTAAAGATCTAAAACTGTATGCTTTTTCCAGTCCCAAAGTTTTTTCCCACTTGATACCCTTTTATATTATAAAATCCTTTTTTACAGTTAAGCTTTTTCCCAAAATTTATAATATAATAAAAATTATTTTTTTGTCCCTTTCCCTCGTTTTGACGCTGCCTTTGGTTGCCTTTTTACTACCCTGGTGAAAATTTACTTTAAATGCAAAAGAAAGCTTGGGTTTGTTATAGTTTTTGTGTAAGAATGCCCCCAAAATTTTAATATTGGCATTAAAAAAATTTGAATGTTTCAGAGCCCGCTGTCCCCGCAGTTTGTGTTAAATAATTTGCGTGGTTAAAAAAAAAAAAAAGTATTGCACAGCCCCACCCGAGAATATTTTTCACCACCGTCCACTGCCATATATGTTGCATTTTTTGAAAAATGTAGATACACAGAATGCATCATTATAAAACATTTAGAAAAAAAAATGATTCAAGTATCTATCAACCGTAAAAATCCTAATGTGGTATATACACACTTAAAAACAGATAAATATTTGATTATAAGAAAATGGAACAGTATGCACTTGTATGGTTCTTCACTGCAAGGGTTCATTTTTATCTCTCTAAATGTTTGTACAATTTCCATTTTCAAAGTTTGCAGATGGAGAGTTTCAATACAGTACATGTGCAGCACTTGGTCTCTCTCTCAGCAGTTGCTCTATGAAATGTGCGTAACCACTTAACAATCACGTTTCCATTCTTATCAGTAAAATAAATATATTTGGCTCAGTGCATTAATTGATGGAACTCACAATGACACCAAATAACAAGCAATAACGTGATACAAACCAAGAAAACAGGAACTTTGCTGACCATATATATATATATATATAAATAAATAAAAGACTGGTATATATACCAGTCTTGTCATTGTAACTATGACCTGGTAAAAGTGACATAATTCAATATAATGTTTGATGAATTAACCTGTAACATTTCAAAATGGATCTGAGATACCTGAGAGCCAGGTGGGGCGAGGAGGACCCGCTGAGGGTGCAGACGTAGGGTTTGGAATTGAACTGGGAGATGACCACTTGTAGAGTGACCTGGGACGTGTCATACTGGAACGGCCTGAAGGTGACGGTCACCTCCACCTTCCCATTGGCTGGAATCACTCCTAGAATCACACACAAACAAAGGATTATACCGGTCTTGAATGTAACGCATTTGTTAAAGGAAAACAATACGTAGGCCTACCTAAACTCAACACTTCAATACCCTCAAACCATGGGAAACATAGAGAGATACTTTTTCAGACATCTCTACCCAGTCTGAGTACTAGGCTATTTGCGTAACCCCGGAAATCCATCATCACGCATTGCCTGGAAAGCGTCACCATCCATGCCAGAGACAAAACAACACAGCTCCCCCCTGTGCTAGATGCACTGAGTCCCTGACTGCTTTGTGTCAAGGTGGCAGTTGCAGACTATGAGCATCTTTCCACAGTAATTCAGACACAAGACATGATGGTGATGTTGAGGAATCACAGGTCAGGGCTAGGTAATCAGCTAATAATATTACGTGAGTTTATACAGGTGAGTCTGGGTCTCTGGGAGCCAGCAAAAAATGTTTTATGTGGTTCAAAGTTTTAACTAATCACCTCAAGGAACTAACACAAAAACATAGCTGGAACCTTATTGTGAACCAGAAATTATCCTACCATCAAATATAAAAAAATAAATTGATACATATCTGGCAAATAGACTCACAGGCTTAATACATTAATCAAATAATATATACCTACTGTAGATAGAATAATACAGGGGTTTTCCTCACTGTCTGTCTGAGTGAGCAGGTAGGATGTTGTTGCTATCTTGTTAAGGACTGTGTTATTACTACTTTATTCAGTGGCCTAATGTAAAGTGCTACCAAGTCTGCTGATTGGAGTTACCTGACAGGGGCTGGACCGAGAAGGCCTTGTGTGGCTGGATGATGTACACCTGGAACTCAAAGTCAATGGGACAGCTGCAGCTCAGAGGGATCACATGGCTGACACTGGAAGGTCAAAGACAGGTCAAAGGTCAAAGATAACAAGCATATACACCACCAGTCAAAGTTTGGACACACCTACTCATTCAAGGGTTTTTCTTTATTTTTTTACATTGTAGAATAATAGTGAAGACATCAAAACTATGAAATAACACATATGGAAACATGTAGTAACCAAAGAAGTGTTAAACAAATCAAAATATATTTTATATTTGAGATTCTTCAAATAGCCATCGTTTGCCTTGATGACAGCTTTGCACACTCTTGGCATTCTTTCAACCAGCTTCATGAGGTAGTCACCTGGAATGCATTTCAATTAACAGGTGTGCCTTGTTAAAAGTTAATTTGTGGAATTTATTTCCTTCTTAATGAGTTTGAGCCAATCAGTTGTGTTGTGACAAGGTAGGGGGAGTATACAGAAGATAGCCCTATTTGATAAAAGACCAAGTCCATATTATGGCAAGAACAGCTCAAATAAGCAAAGAGAAACGACAGTCCATCATTACTTTAAGACATGAAGGTCAGTCAATACGGAACATTTCAAGAACGTTGAAACTGGTTCTCATGAGGACCACCACAGGAATAGAAGACCCAGAGTTACCTCTGCTGTAGAGGATAAGTTCATTAGAGTTACCAGCCTCAGAAATTGCAACCCAAATAAATGATTCACAGAGTTCAAGTAACAGACACATCTAAACGTCAACTGTTCAGAGGAGACTGTGTGAATCAGGCCTTCATGGTCGAATTGCTGCAAAGAAACCACTACTAAAGGACACCAATAATAATAAGAGACCTGCTTGGGCCAAGAAACACGAGCAATGGACATTAGACCGGTGGAAATCTGTCCTTTGATCTGGAGTCCAAATTGGAGATTTTTGGTTCAAACCGCTGTGTCTTTGTGATACGCGGTGTTGGTGAACGGATGATCTCCGCATGTGTAGTTCCCACCATAAAGCATGGAGGAGGAGGTGTTATGGTGCTTTGCTGGTGACACTGTCTGTGATTTATTTAGAATTCAAGGCACACTTAACCAGCATGGCTACCACAGCATTCTGCAGCGATACGCCATCCCATCTGGTTTGGGCTTAGTGGGACTATCATTTGTTTTTCAACAGGACAATGACCCAACCCACCTCCAGGCTGTGTAAGGGCTATTTTACCAAGAAGGAGAGTGATGGAGTGCTGCATCAGATGACCTGGCCTCCACAATCCCCCGACCTCAACCCAATTGAGATGGTTTGGGATGAGTCGGACGGCAGAGTGAAGGAAAAGCAGCCAACAAGTGCTCAGCATATGTGGGAACTCTTTCAAGACTGTTGGAAAAGCATTCCAGGTGAAGCTGGTTGAGAGAATGCCAAGAGTGTATAAAGCTGTCATCAAGGCAAAGGGTGGCTATTTTAAGAATCTTAAATATAAAATATATTTTGATTTGTTTATCACTTTTTTGGTTACTACATGATTCCATATGTGTTATTTCATAGTTTTGATGTCTTCACTATTATTCTACAATGTAATTTTTTTTACAAATAAAGAAAAACCCTTGAATGAGTAGGTGTGTCCACACTTTTGACTGGTACTGTATATCACACAGACCCAGAGAGAAAGGACAACAGCCTACATGTTCATTGAGACCTACAATAAAATGTAAAGCTAAATCAAATTCAGCCAGCCACTCAGTTCAAAAGACAATCATTTTTATCAAGAGATAAAAATGCCCTCCTATAAAAAATTGTGGAAAGTGGATTGTGTCACAATCTGTAAAATGTAAATAATTATTATATTGTATCTCTATGGCCTTACATATGTTTATATTTTGGATTTTTTTTAAAGTATTCTCTTTCCAAGTGTATTGTTTTGACTGAAGATTGTTGAACATGCAAGACAAATACTACTGACCCTAGCATATACCCCAGCATACAGCTTACTTAGAGAACTACGATTAGCTATCTACTGTGCAAATGGACTCTAATATATTGACTGCTCACCGCATCGTTAGTGTCAACAGAGATGATTAAAAACCAATGTTTATGATGCGTTACATGACCATAATAACACACTGAGTTTATTCCTCAAACAAGCCTTTGTTGCCACTCATCATGTTTATCTGGCAGGCTAATTCAGAAACTGGTGCACTTAGCAACTACTTAGCAGACTAGGCTGTAGCTGTAGCCTATCCCTTACGGAAAGAACATATGAATTTCACATGTGAAGTGTTCCAAAAACACATGTTTTCATGTGATCATATGTGATCTTATGTGAAGTTAATGTGATAACTTGCGACAACATTTAAAGTAACATGTGATAAAATTAAACTACACGTGTGGAAACGTGATCATATGTGAAGTGTTCCAAAAACACATGATTTCACATGTGAAATTATGTGTTTTTTCTGTAAGGGATTTGAGTGGCCATGCAACTCATGTACAATCCTCTTATGAAGGTTCATTGGTGGGTTTAAAGACTATTCAAAGGGCAAAGATGCACAGTGAGACACGATTGTCCACTTCACCTCACCTTTGGCCCAGTGGGACAGCTGGTATGGTGATGTGTGTTGGGATGTGCAAGTCATCGATGATGGGGTAGGCATGGACTGGTACCTGTAAATTCTCTTCCCCCTGGAGAGAGATTGAGAGAGAATAACAATGCTCCCTGATGCATTCATTTCCTGGAGTTCTAAACAGGAGGGAACCTCCTAGCAGTAAGTACTCTGGTTCCAGATCAGTTTGCCATGGAGTGACAATGACCTTAGAAGTTTGCAAGACAGCACAAACAGATCTGGGACCAGGCTTACCTTGCAGCAACTATGGAGAGAAACGTTGACAACAAACAACATGTGATGCATAAACACAGCAAATCCCTCTTTTGATGGACAGTTGAATAGATTAGAAGTAGAAGTTGAAGAGATCACTGTCAGGCATGACGGCATGCGAACTTGATTAGAAATTAACATAGCACTGGATTCCAACCTTGCAATGAACCCGAATACAGTCGTAGAAGTAGCGCCATTCTTTAGGACAGAAGTGTACTTTCACTGTGTAGGACAGTCCGGGGACAAGACGATGCTGCATAGAATATCAAAATGGAGGAATTAACCATCAACACTGACACGCATACGAATCAAAGATCATAGACGGAATGCATAACATGACATCAAATAGTAATAAACAAACACCTTTTTTAAATATTTCGTTTGGAAGTGCTTTGTTTGGGTGGGGATAATGTGAATGTTGATCACTTCAGATGATATGTTGATAAGTTTCTGAGGAAGATTAAAACAAAGATGAATTACATGACGCCTTGTATAAGAATGTACTGGTACATGAAGTGCATATATCGGCACAATCCATCTAAAGTCAGTGCTTTGTCTTTTGTTCTCTTGGAACAGTCAACACTCTTTGCTTCACTCACCAAGGTCCTCTGATAATCCTTCCCCAGTTTAAACCCACTGAAGTGAAGTGCTGAGGGTTCTGCATGGATTGCACTGTTGCTCTTGAGTTTGGTATAGGTTTCTGGAAAGTATAATATAAATGAGATGTCTTCACCATCTGCTTAGTCCCGTGTGGCTCAATTGGTAGAGCATGATGCTTGCAATGCCAGGGTTGTGGGTTTGATTCCCATGGGGGACCAGTACGGGGGAAAAGTATGAAAATGTATGCACTCACTACTGTAAGTCGCTCTTGATAAGAGCATTTGCTAAATGAAGTAAATATTAAAACCCAAAACAAGTGGAAAATATTATCAAACGCCTGAGGAACCACACACTGCATAATGTAGGCTACGGTAACTCAGATAGCATCATGAGCATCATTTTTTTTATACTGCCCCCCGTGGGGGCAACCACAAACCCCGGCGTTTTTGCAAACGCCATGCCTACCAACTGAGCTACACCCCTGCCGGCCATTCCCTCCCTACCTGGACGACGCAGGCCAATTGTGCGCCGCCCCATGGGTCTCCCGTCGCGGCCCGTTTAACGAGCCTGGATTCGAACCAGGATCTCTAGTGGCACAGCTAGCACTGCGCTGCAGTGCCTTAGACCACTGCGCCACACTAGTTCTAGCCCTAGCGCTCTACTACAATAAACATATTATTCTTGACTGAATATAGCCTGTTAAATATATGACTGAGATGTATCAAATTGTTTAAGTGTAAGGGTCCTACGGGTCTCTAGTAGGTGATGAAGGACATTAGAGGGACTTCTTTTTGTGTCCTCCACCAGTTGGCACAGGGGAAGAGGGGTCTTCTTCCTTTGACTGTCTGTGAATGTCTCTGATGCAGAGTGTGCCACTTCCATCACTTCTCCATTAAAAACAGGGCTGAAGAAGATAGCAAACAATATCACAATTCATATCACATCAGATATGTAACGTTAAACGCTTGCATTTCAAAGATGCAATGTTGTCCATATGATAATGAAAAGAACCAAATGACACAAAGCTAGCAAGCCAACTTTGTGCATGTGCAGCTACTGTGGTTGACACAGGAAAGTAAGCAAACTAGCTAGGGACGGGTTAGCAAGAAAGAGTGGAAGCTAGCAGCTAGCAGAGAGAAACAGCTAGCAAAGAAAAACAGCTAACGTCGTTAGCTAGCTTGTTATCAAACTTCATCAAACAGTTGTTTTAGGTTCGATTTGGTAACGTTAGCTCATAAACAACACACGTTTTTATTCGTTGCATGATGTGGGTGCTTTTCAAGGTTGAAAACTGAACGTACCTGTTGTTTCACTGATAGAACATCCACCAAACACTCTCGTCACCATAGTGATTCTTCCGTGGGGCGGGATATTTTTTCAAGGGTTAGTATTAGCAAAGAGTTTCTAAACCCAGAGGCGCAACATCTGGGAACGCTTGCGAAACAGGCCAAGCAGACAAGACCGGGGTTTGGGGTTTATGAAGTCAATGAGAGAAGTAAAAATATATTCATTTGTTGTACATTTTCTCGAAATCTAAAGGCACAACCTGGAGTCGAGACATCGTCTTAAGTAGATGAAAATGGTATTACTACAACCTCGTGAAACTGACAACCTCGATTACTACAACCTCGATACACTGACACGTTTTCATTTTTGTCAAAAACAACTTTATATCAAAAGAGTGCCTTTGACATGACGGTCTGCACATGTGCAGTACAGCGTGAGACGACCATTAGACCCAATGACGTATTTCTGCGCATGAGATAAGCGAGCCAACGTTGTCATGACTTCGCCTACATGCGTTATCGGGGATTTATATTGGAGAAGCAGTTTCTGCCTATCTTCATACTGTACTGTCTTTGGTACTGGTCTATTATAAAATTGGTCAGGTGTAATAACTGCTCAAACAAAACACATGCAGTTGGTTTGGACAAAGCCAGTGGATGCTGTTTGATGACTTGCTGGTTTGAATTGGACGATTATTTCAGACTTTTAGTACCGAAAGTCCGTTTGCAGTTTATTAAAGTCTATAATTAGGTTACAGTTTTCTGGTATATGATGCTTGTGACTGACAAAATGCACATTGGAATTATTGGAATCCTACTGGGCATGTACTTGAAGGTAAGAATGAACGCGCGTGTTTGAAACAGCTGGGCATGTTTGGCAAAGGTACATACATATACACTGAGTGTACGAAACATTAGGAACACCTTCATAATACTGAGTTTGTACCCCCTTTTGCCCTTAGAACAGCCTCAATTCGTCGGGGCATGGACTACAAGGTGTCGAAAGCGTTCCACAGGGATGCTGGCCCATGTTGACTCCAATGCTTCCCACAGTTGTGTCAAGTTAGCAGGATGTTTGGTGGACCATTCTTGATACACACTGGAAACTGTTGAGCGTGGAAAAACCCAGCAGTGTTGCAGTTCTTGACACACTCAAACTTGTGCACCTGGCACCTACTACTACCATACCCCGTTCAAAGGCACTTACATTTTTTGTCTTGCCCATTCACATTTAAATTGACGCATACACAATCCATGTCTCAAGGCTTCAAAATCCATATTTAACCTGTCTCCTCCTCTTCATCTATACTGATTTTAAGTGGATTAAACAGGTGACATCAATAACGGATCATAGCTTTCACCTGGATTCACCTGGTCAGTCTACTATGTCATGGAAAAATAATCTAGGTTGAAGGTTATGCCTTTAGATTTTGAGAAACTTTGCAACTAAGGAATACTTTTTTAATGTTTTGTACACTCAGTGCCTTCAGAAATTATTCACACCCCTTGACCTTTTCCAAATGTTGTTGTTACAAAGAGGGTTAAAAATTGGTCAACTATCTACACAAAATACTTTCATGTCAAAGTGGGGGGGAAATGCTAACACATATTAGGAAGGTGTTCCTAATGTTTGGTATACTCAGTGTATATTAGAATCACCTTTGGCAGAGACTTTTCTACAGAGACTACAGCTGTGAGTCTTTTCTGGGTAAGTCTCTCTAAGACCTTTCCACAGCAGGATTGTGCAACATTTGCCCATTATTCATTTCAAAATTCTTCAAGCTCTGTCAAATTGGTTGTTGATCATTGCAAGACAACCATTTTCAGATCTTGCCATAGATTTTAAAGCAGATTTAAATCAAAACTGTAACTCGGCAACTCAGGAACACTCCAGTGTAGATGTGGTCTTATGTTTTGTCCTGCTGAATGGTGAATTAATCTCCCAGTGTCTGGTGGAAAGCAGACTGAAGCAGGTTTTTTTCTAGGATTTTGCCTCTGCCCATTCCAATGATTACAAGCATACCCATAACATGATGCAGCCACCACTATGCTTGAAAATATGGAGAGTGCTACTCAGTAATGTGTTGTATTGAATTTCCCCCAAACATAACACTGTGTATTCAGGACAAAAAGTACATTGTTTTGTGAATGTTTTTGCAGTATTACTTTAGTGCCTTGTTGCAAACAGGATGCATGTTTTGGAATATTTTTGTTCTGTACAGGCTTCCTTATTTTCCCTGTCAATTAAGTTAGTATTGTGGAGTAACTACAATGTTGATCCATCCTTAGTTTTCTCTTATCACAGCCATTAAACTCTTAACTGTTTTAAAGTCATCGTTGGCCTCATGGCGAAATCCCTGAGTGGTTTCCTTCCTCTCCAGCAACTGAGTTAGGAAGGACACCGCTATCTTTTTAGTCACTAGGTGTATTGATACACCATCCAAAGTGTAGTTAATAACTTCACCATGCTCAAAGGGATATTCAATGTCTGCTTTAATTTTTTTTTACCCATCTACCAATAGGTGCCCTTCTTTGTGAGGCATTGGAAAACCTCTGTGGTCTTTGTGGTTGAATATGTGTGTAAAGTTGACTGCTCGACTGAGGGACCTTACAGATAATTGTATGTGTGGGGTACAGAGATGAGGTAGTCATAAAAATAAAAATAAACTATTATGTGACTTGTTAACATATGTTTACTCCTGAACTTATTTAGGCTTGCAATAACAAAGGGGTTGAATACTTATTGACTAAAGACATTTAAGCTTTTCATTTTTTATTTATTTGTAAACATTTCAAAAAACATAATTCCACTTAATTCCAGTGACAAAAAACTCAATTGAATCCATTTTAAATTCAGTCTGTTACAACAAAATGTGGAAAAAGTCAAGGGGTGTGAATACCTTCTGAAGGCACTGTAGGCTATGGGGAGATGACACATGCACACATTATTTTTCTTTTTAACTATGAAAGGTTCAAGCAGACTGTGAGCCGTACATCATTCTTATTCGAGAGGAGGAGAGGTGCCTTCATGAGTTGCGGCTGCATAATGTGTCCAAAACTCCCCAACCAGGTGAGATGAGACTGTTTCTATATTTTCACCTTAGAAATTCATACCCAGCATGGTTTGTCATGTATTCCTAAGCTAAACAAATATAGGTTAACATGTTCCTTCTCTATTCCATAATAGTCCATGTTCTTAGACATTTTCTGTTCGTTTTTTTAAAGTTTTCTCTGAATGGCATTATATGATATACATACAACATAAGAGGAAAATCATTTCCAGTCCCACAGGTATCAAAATCTGAAACTGCACATCAGCACATCACTGGGAACCAGGCCAGTTTGACAGTGGACTAGGTTTCCCTCTAGTGGCAGTATAGAGTAGGTTACAGCTCAACATACTGTATTATTGTTGTAGTTAGTTACCCCTTTTGAGTTCAACATTACTGTCATGTTGGTGAGAGCAGTTCATCAGGTTATCAGAGCTGTTTGTCTTGCTCCTCTTGTTATTACTGTACTTGTTATTACTGTACTATGGGCGGCAGGTAGCCGAAGAGCGTTTGGCCAGTAACCGAAAGGTCGCTGGTTCGAATCCCCGAGCCGACTAGGTGAAAAATCTGTCAATGTGCCCTTGAGCAAGGCATTTAACCTCAATTCCTGTCCTGCTAAAGTTCAAATCTAAAATGTCACAACGACTCAAACACGGACTGTCGTTGTACTGTTTGCCATATAATGCATGACAATAAACCACCAAACACACACTTTGATTAGAATTTGAGAGAAAAAAGATAATGGTGAACTGATTTTTTTTTCTTATACAGACTGCAAGGGTATGTGGGACCACTTGAATTGCTGGTCTCCTGCTTTTGTAGGGGAAACTGCATCACATAACTGTCCCAATTTCTTCAATAAGGTAGACCCCCACCCCACCCTGGTGTTAGTGTTAGACCCCCACCCCACCCCTGGCTGTTAATGTGTTTAGACCCCCACCCCCACCCCTGGCTGTTATGTGTTAGACCCCCACCCCGGCTGTTAATGGTTAGCCCCACACCCTGGTCTGTTATGTGTTAGACCCCCACCCCACCCCTGGCTGTTATGTGTTAGACCCCCACCCCACCCCTGGCTGGTTATGTGTTGTTAGACCCCCCACCCCTGGCTGTTATGTGTTAGACCCCCACCCCACCCCTGGCTGTTATGTGTTTAACCCCACCCCCACCCCTGGCTGTTATGTGTTAGACCCCCACCCCACCCTGGCTGTTATGATTTCTTAGACCCCCCACCCCACCCCTGGCTGTTATGTGTTAGACCCCCACCCCACCCTGGCTGTTATGATGTGTGTTAGACCCCCACCCCCTGGCTGTTATGTTTAGACCCCCACCCCACCCCTGGCTGTTATGTGTTAGACCCCCACCCCACCCCTGGCTGTTATGATGTCTTAGACCCCACCCCACCTCTGGCTGTTATGATGTGTTAGTTAATGATCCACCACTAAGATAATTTGTTTCCATTCAATACAAAAATGTTTGTTTTTCTACCATAAACTGTTGATTGATGCTCATATAGGCGATAGACTAAAAGAACAGAGGAGTGGTAAAGAGTTCATAAAAGGTCTGCTTGTGGAAACAGCGGCATCATGAAGTGATTTATGACAACCTTACATAACACAAATGAAGCCTGCAAAAACTACTGCCTGCACTAAAATACCAGAGAGATTGAACCTGCGTACTATGTAGGTCTGTGTGTCTTAGAAAATATTTGGTCTGTTCCACCGTTGCTCTGCATGGTCAAGTTTTTTTACTCTGATGCCGACTATTTTGATGGCCATAATTCGTTTATTTGAACAGAACAGTAAGTAAGTATTGATGAGACTGTATGATTTTCCAGGTAAAGTGTACCGGAACTGCACAGACACGGGCTGGACGGACCCATTCCCTCCTTACGAGCATGCATGTTTCAACGAAACCTTACACTTACTTGGAGAGGTGGGTACATGTGTAATCTTAGTATATGCTACATCAATGGTTTTGTCTTTGATTCAGGACAAATACATAAAAATAAGGGAAAGCCATAGAAGTGTTGAGCAGTGATTTAAAAATACATGGACAATTTTCATAAAAATATATTCTTACACCAGGCCACTTTTTCCTCCCAGTCACATGACTCCCACATGTACTTCCCCTACGTGAAGACCATGTACACTGCAGGCTACGCTCTCTCTCTAATCTCTCTCACCATCGCCATCACCATCCTCTGTCTCTTTAGGTGAGAAACAGAGAATCAAGTCTAAGAATTATTATGATAAAAATATATGATAATCCATTTGGATACCCAATAAACCAGACTGTAACCAACATGCTTATCTTAATATTGTGTCTCAGTGGGGGATTAAACATATTACAACATGGGTGTCAAAAGCATGTTGGTCAAGGAGGACATTTACAGCTGCTTTTACACTTTTCCTGTTGTCTAGGAAACTGCACTGCACCAGAAACTACATCCACATCCAACTCTTTGTCTCCTTCATCCTGCGTGCTTCCTTCATCTTCATCAAAGACTCTGTGCTCTTCACCGATGAAGACTTCTACCATTGTGACGACTACCCAGTACGTATCTACTGTACTTTGTAGTGACTGTCAATGCATGTGTAAATGGATGAACACATTGATAGAGAGAAATTTGTAATTTAGTGTGTGAAAGCAGAATAACTCACTTTTCTAACTCTTGAAAAAATTCCTGGTTTTGATAGTTATTAATCTTTCAACATGATATGAACATACTAAAATACCCCTCCTACACTATACAGTGCATTCGGAAAGTATTCGGACCCCTTGACTTTTCCACATTTTGTTACGTTACAGCCTTATTCTAAAATGGATTACATTGTTTTTTTCCCTCATCAATCTACACACAATACCCCATAATGACAAAGCAAAAACAGGTTTTTAGAAATGTTTGCAAATTTATGAAACATAAAAAACTGAAATATCACATTTACATAAGTATTCAGACCCTTTACTCAATAGTTTGTTGAAGCACCTTTGGCAGCGATTACAGCCTCACGTCTTCTTGGGTATGACGCTACAAGCGTGGCACACCTGTATTTGGGAATTTCTCCCATTCTTCTCTGCAGATCCTCTCAAGCTCTGTCAGGTTGGATGGGGAGCATTGCTGCACACCTATTTTCAAGTCTCTCCAGAGATGTTCGATGGGGTTCAAGTCCAGGCTCTGGCTGGGCCACTCAAGGACATTCAGAGACTTGTCCCGAAGCCACTCCTGCGTTGTCTTGGCTGTGTGCTTAGGGTCGTTGTCCTGTTGGAAGGTGAACCTTCGCCTAAGTCTAAGGTCCTGAGCGCACTGGAGCAGGTTTTCATCAAGGATCTCTCTGTACTTTGCTCTGTTTATCTTTCCCTCAATCCTGACTAGTCTCCCAGTCCCTGCCGTTGAAAAACATCCCCACAGCATGATGCTGCCACCACCATGCTTCACCGTAGGGATGGTGCCAGGTTTCATCAGACCAGAGAATCTTGTTTCTCATGGTCTGAGAGTCCTTTAGCCAAACTCCAAGCGGGCTGTCACGTGCCTTTTACTGAGGAGTGGCTTCCGTCTGGCCACTTTACTATAAAGGCCTGATTGGTGGAGTGCTGCAGAGATGGTTGTCCTTCTGGAAGGTTCTCCCATCTCCACAGAGGAACTCTGAAGCTCTGTCAGAGTGACCATCGGGTTCTTGGTCAACTCCCTGACCAAGGCCCTTCTCCCCCGATTGCTAAGTTTGGCCGGGCAGCCAGCTCTAGGAAGAGTCTTGGTGGTTCCAAACTTCTTCCGTTTAAGAATGATGGAGCCCACTGTGTTCTTGGGGACCTTCAATGCTGCAGACATTGCTGTACCCTTCCCCAGATCTGTGCCTCAACACAATCCTGTCTCGGAGCTCTACGGACAATTCCTTCGACCTCATGGCTTGGTTTTTCCTCTGACATGCACTGTCAACTGTGGTACCTTATATAGACAGGTGTGTGCCTTTCCAAATCATGTCCAATCAATTGAATTTACCACTGGTGGACTCCAATCAAGTTGTAGAAACATCTCAAGGATGAACAATGGAAACAGGATGCACCTGAGCTCAATTTCGAGTCTCATAGCAAAGGGTCTGAATACTTATGTAAATAAGGTGTTTTTAGTTTTCGCTTTGTCATTATGGGGTATTGTGTGTAGATTGATGAGTAAATATAACTTGACTGGCCTGCACAGATCCCTGACCTCAACCCCATCGAACACCTTTGGGATAAATTGGACCGCCGACTGCGATTCAGGCCTAATCGCCCAACATCAGTGCCCGACCTCACTTATACTTGTGGCTGAATGGAAGCAAGTCCCCGTGGCAATGTTCCAACATCTAGTGGAAAGCCTTCCCAGAAGTGGAGGCTGTTATAGCAGCAAAGGGGGGACAAACTCCATATGAATGCCCATGATTTTGGAATGAGACGTTTGACAAGCAGGTGTCCACATACTTTTGGTCATGTAGTGTATCTTTTCTCATCATATCCTGTAGGTGGTGTGTAAGTTAGTGGTGATGTTCTCCAACTACTGCATCATGGCTAACTACAGCTGGCTGCTGGTGGAGGGACACTACCTCCACACCCTGGTCAGCGTCTCCTTCTTCTCCAAGAAGAAACCCCTGTGGTGGTACATCATCCAGGGCTGGGGTACGGACACCTGTCCCCTCTACATTACAACAACACTACACATGCCATGTCATTGATGTCATCTAGCAATGTCATGTCATAGTGAACTGTTCACTGAAAAGAGGGATTGAATTTAACTAAACAGTTTTTGTTTTTCTACATAGGTTTGCCAATGATTGTCATTGTATCCTGGGGCTTGGCAAAATACTTCTATGAGGATGAAGGGTAAGATACAGATGAATGGGATGTCATAGACCATTTTAAACAGATGACAATTGCATCATCATCATAGTTCACATACATTAATAGGTTTCTCTTTCTCCTCAAGCTGCTGGGAGACAAGGGTACATGACTGGGTTTGGTGGATTCTCAGAGTACCAGTCCTACTCTTCATAGTTGTAAGTGCATCAATCTCTGTTGATAACTAATGATTAGGCCTATGCATTGTTCAAGATTCTTCAAGACAGAATACCAGGGCACATTCTCAGAGCATGCGCAGACCAGCTGGCAAGTGTCTTCACGGACATGTTCAATCTCTCCTTGTACCAGATTGTAATCCTAACATGTTTCAAGCTGACCACCATTGTACCTGTTCCCAAGAACTCCAAGGTAAACTGCCTAAATGACTATCGCCCTGTAGCACTCGCATCTTTAATTATTAAGTGCTTTGGAAGGCTGGTCAAGTCACACATCAACACCATTATCCCAGACACCCTGGAACCACTCCCAATTCACATACTGCCCCAACAGATCCACAGATGATGCTATCTCAATTGCATTTCACACCGCCCTCTCCCACCTGGACAAGAGGGGAAATCACTATGTGAGATTGCTGTTCATAGACTACAGCGCAGCATTCAACACCATATTCCCCTCCAAGCTCGGGACGCTGGGACTGAACCTCTGTAACTGGATCCTGGACTTCCTGACGGGCCGGCCCCAGATGGTGAGGGTAGGCAACAACACCTCCGCCACGCTGACCATCAACACGGGGGCCCCTCAGGGGTGTGTGCCTAGTCCCCTCCTGTACTCCCTGTTCACCCACGACTCCAGCACCATCAAGTTTGCTGACGACAACGGTGGTAGGCCTGATCACTGATGGTGATGAGACAGCCTACAGGGAGGAGGTCAGAGACTTGGCAGTGTGGTGGCAGGACATCAGCCTCTCCTCAACATCAGTAAGACCAAGGAGCTGAGTGTGGACTACAGGAGAAAGAGGGGAGAGCATGTCCCGATCCACATCGATGGGGCTGTAGTGGAGCAGGTCGAAAGCTTCAAGTTCCTCGGCGTCCACATCACTAAGGACTTAACATGGTGTACACACACCCGCACAGTCGTGAAGAGGGCACGAAAGTGTCTCTTCCCCTCAGGGCCGAAAAGATTTGGCATGGGCCCTTGGATCGTCAAAAAGTTACACAGCTGCATCGAGAGCATTTTGATTGGGTGCATCACCGCTTGGTATGGAAAATGCACCGCCCTCGACCGCAAAGCGCTACAGAGGGTGGTGCGGACGGCTCAGTACATCACTGGGACCGAGCTCCCTGCCATCCAGGACCTCTATATCAGGCAATGTCAGAGGAAGGCCTGAAAATGTGTCAAAGACACCCACCCAAGTTCACTGTTCACTCTGCTACCGTCCGGCAAATGGTACCGGAGCATCAGCTCTCGGCCCAACAGGTTCCGAGACAGCTTCTACCCCCAAGCCGTAAGACTGCTAATAGCCATAAATAGTTAATTAAATGGTTACCCGGACTATCTGCATTGACCCTATCTTGCACTGACTAGCTCTCTCTATACATTTTATATATATATATATATATATATATATATATATATATATATATATACACACACATACACATACACACTAGTGTACAAAACATTACGAACACCTTCCTAATATTGAGTTGCACCCCCTTTTGCCCTCAGAATAGCCTCAATTCATCAGGGCATGGACTACAAGGTGTCGAAAGCGTTCCACAGGGATGCTGGCCCACGTTGACTTCAATGCATCCCACAGTTGTGTCAAGTTGGCTGGATGTCCTTTGGGTGGTGGAGCATTCTTGATACACACAGGAAACTGTTGAGCGTGAAAAACCCAGCAGCGTTGCATTTCTTGAAACATTCAAACCGGTGTACCTGGCACCTACTACCATTCCCTATTCAAAAGCACTTAAATCTTTTGTCTTTCCCATTCACCCTCTGAATGGCACACACACACAATCCATGTCTCAAGGATTAAACATCCTTCTTTAACCTGTCTCCTCCCCTTCATCTACACTGATTGGAGTAGATTTAACAGGTGACATCAATAAGGGACCATCGCTTTCACCTGGTCAGTCTGTCATGGAAAGAGCAGGTGTTCTTAATGTTTTGTATACAAAAAAAGAAACACACACATGCTGCTGCTGCTACTCTGTGCTTTATTTTACTTATATTTGTATCTATCCTGATGCCTAGTCCCTTTACCCTGACTTCATGTACTTATCTACCTCAAATACTGTACCCCATACCCATGCACATTGATCTGGTACTCCCTGTATACAGCTTCATTCTTGTATATATGTTTTTACTGCATTGTTGTAAAAAGGGCTCGTAAGCAAACATTTCACTGTTAGTTAACACCCATTGTATTCGGTGTATGTGACAAATACAATTTGATGTTTGTTTTTTATATAACTGAGAATGTAAATATTTGTTTTACTCCCTACGGTAATCATTTGTTGCCATTTCATTGCAGATTAATTTTATATTTTTTCTGAGTATCATACGAATTCTGGTGGGGAAACTGCGGATGCCAGACACGCATGGAACTGAATTCAGCCAATACAAGTGAGTTGTCAAAATCACCAGAATGTACTATTACCAAAGCATTTCAAGGATGTTTATTCTGTAGGGTATAAAAAAAACTTAAAACAGTGTTACAGTACCTGTGCTAACTTTCTGTAAGCGTTGCCCAGTCAAACCTGAAAGACCAGCACAACGGCAAACTAATGGAATCTCTCCAAACATGTGTACAGTATTGATTGATGTATTTTGTGTATTGTAAAATTGCATATTTTCCTTGTATCTTTTCAGGAGACTTACCAAATCTACTTTTCTTTTGGTTACCCTCTTTGGTTTGTACTACATCCTCTTTGCCTTCTTACCCATCAAAGTCAGTGGTTTAACTTACAAAATATGGACCTTTGTTGAGCTGGCTCTTGCATCAACACAGGTAATTTTGATTTTTACTTTTTTACTTTGCAGGAATACTATTTGATGTCTAAATTCCCCTTTCTTCCTTTCCAGGGCTTTGGAGTTGCTGTTCTTTACTGTTTCCTAAATGGGGAGGTAGGTTTTTTGCCCATTTCTCAAAACTATGATGTAAAATGAAGTTGAAATAAGTGGTATAAATGTGCTATTGCTAATATTAGGCAGCTAGCCCTGATTAACTAGTGCTCGATGATACACTTTCTCCATCCCCTCCCCCCACACACAGGTACAGTACGAGGTACAGAGGAGATGGCGAAGGTGGAGGCTGAAGCAGCATCTACACGGGGCGCCAAGACACCATGGCTCCATGAGCCAAAGCGGCTCTCCCCTTACCCAGGTCTCCTTGCTTCCCTGTTCCGGACAGGCCAGCCTGGCATGACCTTTGACACCCCCCCCCCCCCACCAACCAATCAATCACTGGAGATCTCCTAGACATGCCAGATAAAAACACTCATACAGAGGGACTCTCTCAAGACATCAAGGGTACTTAAGTTACATAACTTTCTTTAACTTGAGGAATGGTCCACAGAATCACTTGGCCACTCTTGAAGACTTGGACATTGCATGGGAAACAGCAATGTTATTTTGTGTCATTCCCTCAACCTCAAGCAACATTTCTACGACTATGGACCAGGCCTGAAGATCTAGGACATTTTAGGTTCAGTGGAAATCCTAAGAAACAGGAAGATATTCAAAAACAGGAAGTAGGCCTCAGCTCTTCATCATCAACATGTGAAAGAGAAATCCTGGAAAGGGGTCTGGTTATGGCCAGCCTCTTGTCCAGAGAATGTATCGACATGATTGAAAATTCTCACTTTTTATTATACTTCAAAGACAGATCTTTTAAGAAACATAATTTACTGTTCTTTTGCGTCAATGTACTGTATTTTCTCACAATTTGACATTTTCTGAAATAAATACCCAGATCAAAAGGCTGCACTTTTTCAAGAGGATAACAAATTGCTGGTGAGTTGTCTAACAAACTGTCATCTTGGTTGTCTCAACACTTCACCCATGTAAAATGTCAGATTTGGTCCCTTTTCTTCTTGCTTTATTATAAACTGGATGGTTCAAGCCCTGAATGCGGATTTGGCTGACAGCCGTGGTATATCAGACCTTATACCACGGGTATGACAAAACATTTATTTTTACTGTTCTAATGACGTTGGTAACCAGTTTATAATAGCAATAAGGCACCTCTGGGATTTGTGGTAGATGGCCAATATACCATGGCTAAGGGCTGTTCTTAGGCACGCACGATGCAGAGCAGAGTGCCTTGATACAGCCCTTAACCGTGGTATATTGGCCATATACCACACCCCCTCGTGCCTTATTGCTTTATTATAAAATGGTTCTTAGAAAAATATGTGCACTAATGTCCTAAAGATAACCTCTACATTGGATACTTTGCTTTCATTTCTTCCACAAAGGCAATATATTCTTTTATGGCATCTTCTTTGGACTTTCCTATTGGATTGAAAATAGAAACAGGACACATTGAAGATTTGTGTTACATTCAAAACAGAGAGAGTGGAAAGGCAGAATAATACATTGTCCAAAATACTTACCTTCCTGTGCTTTCCAACCATCCCATTTAGATTTTCCTTGGAAGTCAAATATTCCCGGACGCTCTGTGGACACAACGCATACATTTTCAAAGTTACTCTTACATCAACAAAAATATTGCTTTAACTGGCAGGTATTGACAAAGTTTGAAAGACACTTGCCCATCGGGTAAGTCAGGATTATTTTTTGGTTACCCGAAGATTATGATCGCTTTCCCGATAATGTAAAAATAAACTACACTGAACCAAAATATAAAACGCTACATGCAACAATTTTACAGTTCATATAAATAAATACATTAGGCCCTAATCTATGGATCTCACATGACTGGGAATACAGATATGCATGTTGGTCACAGATCTTTTAAAAAATAAAGTAGAGGCGTGGATCAGAAACCAGTCTGTATCTGGTTTGACCACCATTTGCCTCATGCAGCCCGACATCTTCGCATTGAGTTGATCAGGCTGTTGATTGTGGCCTGTGGAATGTTGTCTCACTCCTCTTCAATGGCTGTGCGAAGTTGCTGGATATTGGCGGGAACTGGAACACGCTGTCGGAAACATCAATCCAGAGCATCCCAAACATGTTCAATGGTTGACATGTCTAGGTATGCAGGCCATCGAAGAACTGGGACATTTTCAGCTTCCAGGAATGGTGTACAGATCCTTGCGACATCGGGCCGTGCATTATCATCCTGAAACATGAGGTGATGGTGGCGGATGAATGGCACAACAATGGGCCTCAGGGTATCGTCACTGTATCTCTGTGCATTCAAATTAACATCAATAAAATGCAACTGTGTTCGTTGTCCATAACTTCTGCCTGCACTACCATAACCCCACAGCCACCATGGGGCACTCTATTCACAACGTTAAGATCAGCAAATCGCTCACCCACATGACACCATACACGCTGTCTGCCATCTGCCCAGTACAGTTGAAACCAGAACTCATCCATGAAGAGCATACTTCTCCAGTGTGCCAGTGGCCATCGAAGGTGAGCATTTGCCCACTGAAGTCAGTTATAATGTCGAACTGCAGTCAGGTCAAGATCCTGTTGAGGACAATGAGCACACAGATGACATTCCCTGAGATGGTTTCTGACAGTTTGTGCAGAAATTCTTCAGTTGTGCATACCCACAGTTTCATCAGCTGTCCGGGTGGCTTGTCTCAGACCATCCTGCAGGTGAAGATGCCAGATGTGGAGGTCCTGGGCTGGCATGGTTACACGTGGTCTGTGGTTGTGAGGCCAGTTGGACGTACTGCCAAATTCTCTAAAACGACGTTGGAGGTGGCTTATGATAGAGAAATTAACATTCAGTTCTGGCAACAGCTCTGGTGGACATCCCTGCAGTCAGCATGCAAATTGCACACTCCCTCAACTTGAGGGACATTTTAGAGTGGCCTTTTATTGTCCCCAGCACAAGGTGAACCTAGGTAATGATCATGCTGTTTATTCAGCTTATTGATATGCCACACCTGTCAGGTGGATATATTATCTTGGCAAAGGAGAAATGCTCACCCACAGGGATGTAAACAAATTTGTACACACAATGAGAGAATTAAGCTTTTTGTGCATATGGAACATTTCTGGGATATTTTTCAGCTTTTGAAACATGGGACCAACACTTTACATGTTGCATTTATATTTTTTGGTTCAGTATATTTTACACGCAATAGTGCCATATATTGCCTGCCTTTCACATACACAGGGGAGGAATCTGAAAAAGAAGAACTGGAATTCTTTGTATTTTGGTTGTTCTCAGAGCAGGCTCAACTTGCCCAACTGCCAAACATCGTCTGTCTTTCACAAAGATCAGTTTTAGGCTAGGCCTACTGGAAGGATTCACTTTTTAAATCACCTGCCCAACGGGGCAACATCAGAGCATGTTCAGGTCACCGGCCTTAATGTCCGTCCCTGAATGGTTTACTTACAGACAAAAAGGCAGCTAAACAATTGATAAGTCAAGACATTTAACTCTTGAGAAATGCATATAGAGACAAAATTATAAGCCTTGGTCTCACGAGTGGCGCAGTGGTCTAAGGCGCATTGCCTTTAAAATTGTCACTACAGACCCGGGTTCGATCCCAGGCTGTGTCACAACCGGCTGTGATCGGGAGTCCCATTTGGCGGCGCACTATTGGCTCAACGTCGTCCGGGTTAGGTGAGGGTTTGGCCGGTGAGGCTTTACTTGGCTCATCGCGCTCTAGCGACTCCTTGTGGCACACCGGACGCCTGCAGGCTGACCACGGTAGTCAGTTGAACAGTGTTTCCTACGACACATTGGTGCGGCTGGCTTCCGGGTTAAGCAGGTGGGTGTAAGAAGCGCGGTTTGGCGGGTCATGTTTCAAAGGACGCATGACTGGACCTTCGCCTCCCGAGCCCGTTGGGGAGTTGCAGCGATGAGAAGATCGAAAAAGGGGGTAAAATACAACAAAAAAACAACAAATAATTATATATACAGTTGAAGTCGGAAGTTTACATACATCTTAGCCAAATACATTTAAACTCAGTTTTTCACAATTCCTGACATTTAATCCTAGTAAAAATTCCCCGTCTTATTTTAAGAATGTGAAATGTCAAAATAATAGTAGAGAGAATGATTTATTTCAGCTTTTATTTATTTCATCACATTCCTAGTGGATCAGAAGTTTTACATACTAATTGAGTGTATTTGGTAGCATTGCCTTTAAATTGTTTAACTTGGGTCAAACATTTCGGGTAGCCTTCCACAAGCTTCCCACAATAAGTTGGGTGAATTTTGGCCCATTCCTCCTGACAGAGCTGGTGTAACTGAGTCAGGTTTGTAGGCCTCCTTACTCGCACACGCTTTTTCAGTTCTGCCCACAAATGTTCTATAGGATTGAGGTCAGGGCTTTGTGATGGCCACTCCAATACCTTGACTTTGTTGTCCTTAAGCCATTTTGCCACAACTTTGGAAGTATGCTTGGGGTCACTGTCCATCTGGAAGACCCATTTGCGACCAAGCTTTAACTTTCTGACTGATGTCTTGAGATGTTGCTTCAATATATCCACATAATGTTCCTTCCTCATGATGCCATCTATTTTGTGAAGTGCACCAGTCCCTCCTGCAGCAAAGCACCCCCACAGCATGATGCTGCCACCCCCGTGCTTCACGGTTGGGATGGTGTTCTTCGGCTTGCAAGCGTTCCCCTTTTTCCTCAAAACATAACGATGGTCATTATGGCCAAACAGTTCTATTTTTGTTTCATCAGACCAGAGGACATTTCTACAAAAAGTACGATCTTTATCCCCATGTGCAGTTGCAAACCGTAGTCTGGCTTTTTTATGGCGGTTTTGGAGCAGTGGCTTCTTCCTTGCTGAGCAGCCTTTCAGGTTATGTCGATATAGGACTAGTTTCACTGTGGATATAGATACTTTTGTACCCGTTTCCTCCAGCATCTTCACAAGGTCTGTTGCTGTTGTTCTGGGATTGATTTGCACTTTTCGCACCAAAGTACCTTAATCTCTTGGAGACAGAACGCGTCTCCTTCCTGAGCGGTATGACGGCTGCGTGGTCCCATGGTGTTTATACTGCGTACTATTGTTTGTACAGATGAACGCGGTACCTTCAGGCATTTGGAAATTGCTCCCAAGGATGAACCAGACTTGTGGAGGTCTACTATTTTTTTTCCTGAGGTCTTGGCTGATTTCTTTTGATTTTCCCATGATGTCAAGCAAAGAGGCACTGAGTTTGAAGGTAGGCCTTGAAATACATCCACAGGTACACCTCCAATTGACTCAAATGATGTCAATTATCCTATCAGAAGCTTCTAAAGCCAAGACATCATTTTCTGGAATTTTCCAAGCTGTTTAAAAGGCACAGTGAACTTAGTGTATGTAAACTTCTGACCCACTGGAATTGTGATACAGTGAATTATAAGTGAAATAATCTGTCTGTAAACTATTGTTGGAAAAATGACTTGTGTCATGCACAAAGTAGATGTCCTAACCGACTTGCCAAAACTATATTCTGTTAACAAGAAATGTGTGGAGTGGTGGAAAAACAAGTTAACGACTCCAACCTAAGTGTATGTAAACTTCCGACTTCAACTGTTATATATATATATATATGCCTTGTAATAAGACACTATAGGCTGATACCTGTTTATAAGTAGGACCAGGGGTTTTGGGGCACTGAGACACTACTTTTATTGGTATTACCTGCATCATCCACTAGCGCTGCAGCAGGTAGGAAATGTTCTGGAATTGACACAAGCTGTCTCCAATCAATCCATATCCAGTTGTGCGTGTGTGTTTGGCAGGGGGATTGCCTAAGCCAGGGGATGAGTAGCTCTGCTAATCTTAAATCGCACAAAATCTATTATTTGGCAAGGAATACCATTTGTAGATCAGTGATTCTAAACCTCACTTTACTCAAACTGATCCTCCCCAACGGAGTCCAAAGTTGTAGCTAAAAAAGGGTAAATTAGGGGCAGTTTAAGGGGAGAGTCAATGAAACCAACCATGGATGTACTGTATGTTGTAGAAAACTTGGGGGGTAGCCCCAACCGGGACTTGAACCTGTGTCCAGTGACTGTCAAGCCAACACATGAACCGTTACGCCAAGAGGTCCGAACCTCTTGGTGTACAGTCGTGGTCAAAAGTTTAGAATGACACAAATATTAATTTTCACAAAGTCTGCTGCCTCAGTTTTTATAATGCCAATTTGCATATACTCCAGAATGTTATGAAGAGTGATCAGATGAATTGCAATTAATTGCAAAGAATTAATTAATTGCCATGAAAATGAACTTAATCCCCCCAAAAAACATTTCCACTGCATTTCAGCCCTGCCACAAGAGGACCAGCTGACATCATGTCAGTTATTCTCTTGTTAACACAGGTGAGAGTGTTGACGAGGACAAGGCTGGAGATCACTCTGTCATGCTGATTGAGTTAGAATAACAGACTGGAAGCTTTAAAAGGAGGTTGGTGCTTGAAATCATTGTTCTTCCTCTGTTAACCATGGTTACCTGCAAGGAAACACGTGCCATCATCATTGCTTTGCACAAAAAGGGCTTCACAGGCAAGGACATTGCTGCTAGTAAGATTGCACCTAAATCAACCATTTATCAGATCATCAATGAAGGCTTCAGGGCACCCAAGAAAGTCCAGCAAGCGCCAGGACCGTCTCCTAAAGTTGATTTAGCTGCGGGATCGGGGCACCACCAGTGCAGAACTTGCTCAGGAATGGCAGCAGGCAGGTGTGAGTGCATCTGCACGCACAGTGAGGCGAAGACTTTTGGAGGATGGCCTGGTGTCAAGAAGGGCAGAGAGGAGGCCACTTCTCTCCAGGAAAAACATCAGGGACAGACTGATATTCTGCAAAAGGTACAGGGATTGGACTGCTGAGGACTGGGGTAAAGTCATTTTCTCTGATGAATCCCCTTTCCGATTGTTTGGGGCATCCGGAAAAAAGCTTGTCGGGAGAAGACAAGGTGAGCGCTACCATCAGTCATGTGTCATGCCAACAGTAAAGCATCCTGAGACCATTCATGTGTGGGGTTGCTTCTCAGCCAAGGGAGTGGGTTCACTCACAATTTTGCCTAAAAACATGAATAAAGAACGGTACCAACACATCCTCCGAGAGCAACTTCTCCCAACCATCCAAGAACAGTTTGGTGATGACCAATGCCTTTTCAAGCATGATGGAGCACCTTGTCATAAGGCAAAAGTTATAACTAAGTGGCTCGGGGAACAAAACATCAACATTTTGGGTCCATGGCCAGGAAACTCCCCAGACCTTAATCCCATTGAGAACTTGTGGTCGATCCTCAAGAGGCGGGTGGACAAACAATAACCCACAAATTCTGACAAACTCCAAGCATTGATTATGCAAGAATGGGCTGCCATCAGTCAGGATGTGGCCCATAAGTTAATTGACAGCATGCCAGGGCGGATTGCAGAGGTCTTGAAAAAGAAGGGTCAACACTGCAAATATTGACTCTCTGCATAAACGTAATGTAATTGTCAATAAAAGCCTTTGACACTTATGGAATGCTTGTAATTATACCATAGTAACATCTGACAAATATCTAAAAACACTGAAGCTGCAAACTTTGTGAAGACCAATACTTTGTGTCATTCTCAAAACTTGACCACGACTGTACGGTTAAGGTGTTGGTTTAACAGTCGCAGGACCCGTGTTCGAGTCCTATTCGGGGCTACTCACCGAATTCACTAAAATATACTTTCATGGTTGGTTTCATTGACTCTCCACATTAACTGCCCTTAATTGACAATTTTTTTGCTACAACTTCCGAGTCCGTTAGAGGATCAGTTTGAGAAAAGTGAGGTGTACAAATAGTATTCCCTGCCAAATAATAGGCTTTGTGCGATTAAGATTCACAGAGCTATGCCTCCCTTGCTTTAAGCGATACCCCCGCCAACCAGACATGGATTGATTGAGTGGAGACAGCTTGCGTCAATTACAGAACATTTCCTACCTGCAGCAGCACTAGCTGACAATGCTGGAAATACCGGTAAAAGCACAGTGCCTCAAAGTGCCCCAAAACTCCTGGCCATACTTATAAGAAGTTGTATGTCATTATCTTGATGCTTGAAGTGGTACCAGAAAGATTAGACAATAATCAGGGATTTGGCTTTAAGAATGAGGTGCAGCCTGTAGGACAGGTTGAACAGAATGACTCACCCGTGTTGACGTTGCCAATTGTCGCCTGCTTGTACAAACCATATACCACTGCTAGTTCAGCGTAGCTAGGTTGTACGGTCAGCCTCCTCACCTCATCCGCAGCCTTTTCAAATTCAGCCTTGAGAAGAGAAAAAAAAGTTTTGTATTGCGCTCCTTGTGGGGACCAAAGAATCGATTCCCATCCAAAATCCTATTTTCCTTAACCCTAAATCTAACCCTTAACCTAACATTAACCCTAAACCTAACCCTAATTGTAACCCTAAACATAAAATAGTATTTAGTCCCCACTTGTCAAAATGTTCTTGTTTTACTATCCTTGTGAGGACTTCTGGTACCACAAGGTCAGTTAAACAAAACCACACACATAATTTCCCCTATATACTGAGAATAATATGTAAATCAGCGGATGCTGAAAATACTTCCACACCACATTGTGCCAAAATATTTGTATCCGACTTAAAAATAAGTTGAATACCTTCTTAACACCCCAAAAATTCTCCCTATGACAAAATCTGTCCTATATGCCACACACATCAGTTAAAATGCATGTGTCTACACGAAGCTATTTGCAGGAGCGTCATAATAGATTCGCTGCAAAAAAAACTGTTTAAAAAAGAAATGCATGACACCTAGAAGGTATCTAACATTTTAAACAGATGATTGTTAGTTACTGCACATAAAAACAAAAAATAACGAGGTTTCTGTTTACCATAGACATGTTGTTCCCCAGAAAAAGACCCAGCTACTCCTTACATGTGGGAATGCTCACTTCCGTGATTTCATATGGGAGTTGTCTTACCTTTAACCCTTGAGTAGGTGGTGGTGACATCTCAAATTCCATTGGAAAGCAATGAAATGAGAGGTGACAAATGCAATAGCCTATAGCTACCACAAGAGGACAGCATGTGTCCACAGTCTATCTCCAGGTCAGTAAGGAGTGAGACAATAAAAATACATTCATGAACTTCTACATAACAATGAATTGGTAAGTTGTGGAAAATACTGTGTTTATTCTGAAAATAAGCACTATCAAAATATACATGTCTTTGATTTCATTTTGTGGATAAACCAATGGAAATTCGTACATTTAACAGAACCACAAGTGACGCAAGAAAAAATGTAACAGTCAGAGAATATAAAATAGCTCTTACAATTTCAGATGTACCATTGAGTCACCATGACAGCAGGTTTGTTTGATCATTCAATAAAATTAGTACATTTTATACAATGTCATATTTAAATTATACCTATATCACAGTGTAACTTCAACACAGAAACAAAACATGAGCCATCCTCGACTGGGTTTGGTGCCAGCAACAATTTGGGACTTGATAGTACATTTCTCCAATCTTTGACACACATTTGATCTTTGAAAGACTCTGACCAGGTAAAGTCTAAACATTATAGTGCATTCATTGACGCGTAAAAACAGTGCAACAATAATCTAAGGCAGAAAATATAAAGGTCTATTTTCTAAACACATCTCCGAGCAGTAAGAAGCGATTACACAGCAGAAGCAGGCATGACACCCCCAAACAACCGATGACATTGTTGTGAGTTGCAACATTTTGGCTCTGACTGACCTTAGCGTCAGGGCAGGCAAATCAGACAGCTGAGCCAGATTCAGCCGCGAGCAGGACAGAGCTGAGGCATCTAACAGTACTACAAGTACAGCCTCGGATGCCCAGGCTTCGCTCACATTGAAGTGAAAGCCTGAGACAGAGGCTACTACAAGTACAATGTATTTTATTTTGATTTGTGTGATAGCATTGGATGCCCAGTATTTGACTGGCTAAGAGACTAGTAGGAAGACAATGACAATGTCTGGTTTCCAGTTTAGTTAAAGGGAGTAGCGGCAGCAAATTTAAAAGCAGCACTATAATAGCCATATCCGAAATGCATAACTGTACATGTGCCGGAGGCTTAGTGAGCAATACAACCATAGTTCATTTCTCTTGATAAATATACCAAGGTAAACAGTAGTGCTATAGATGAAATGGCATCCAAACAAGTAGCATGTTCACTAGTAAAACAAAGGCCATTGAAATCTCTAAATTGTTTTTGATGCATAAGGCTACTGTTGGTGATATTCCATCCCTTATAATGACACGGTCAGTACTTCTCTCCCATCGCCACTTGCCTGTGTGTGTGTGTGTCTTCCATGCTTCCTTCATTCAACCCTGCATGTAAGACTAAACCAAGCATATCTCTCAAACATTACTGATGTCATCCTGTGATGGCCCGTTACACTCGTCCTCAGGCAGTGTGAAGCGGATGGCTCGGCTCTTCTCCCAACCCCTCCTGATACGACTCAGCCGGAGAGCCACACACGGCAGGGACAGAGCCAGCCTCCCCAGCAGCACAGCCAGCGGCAGGGCCAGCACCAGCAGGAAGGTGGGAGGGAGGTAGAAGCGATACTGCTCCGGGTCCAAGCCCCGGTCCCAGCCGTAGGTCAGCGTGTGGAGGGTGGCCATCACCAGGGCGGTGTAGCCAAGTCTGGACTGGAGGGGAGAAAACGTATTTGAATTGAACTGAATCTGGGTGATAGCCGGCTTCAGATGTACTCACTATAAGTTAATTTGGTTTGAAATCCAGTTTTTTTTATTCAATACAATGTCAGGTCGTGAGATCCGATGGTGATGGACCCATTTTATATTGAACGTTTTAAAAAAATACACTTCTGAACTTATAAATCCCCCAATACTCCATCCATACCCAATCAAACCCCTTTATGAAAGACTGTAAATGCAAACGAGGTTGGCCTACCCAGATGTACAGAACACCGGGGATCTGGCTGTTGACCTTTGAACCTTCTACATAACCTAATAACTCAACATCTTAGTGAGGTGAAAGGAAGTGGTGACTTGAGTGGTATATTATATGTGCAGTATATTAGCTCACGAGTGTAGTAAAGAGGCCCAAGGGGACAGTATGACCTACAAGCTCAACATTTGTCCTTAATGAGCCCCTGTAGTCAGCGCGTGTGTGTGTCTGTGTGTGTGTTCCCTCTAATTATTAGCACAGTACAGGGCACTACAGAGAGCAGCTGAATTATAATTACCCTTGACAGGCGGGAAGGTTCACTGTCGTGACTCACCCATTTCATCCCCATCCCTAAGTATACTGAACAAAAATATAAACGCAACATGTAAAGTGTTGGTCCCATGTTTCATGAGCTGAAATAAAAAATCCCAGAAATGTTCCACAAGCACAAAAAGCTTATTTTTCTTACATTTTGTGCACAAATTTGTTTACATCCCTGTTAGTGAGCATTTCTCATTTGCCAAGATAATCCATCCACTTGACAGGTGTGGCATATCAAGAAGCTGATTAAACAGCATGATCATCACACAGGTTCACGTTGTGCTGAGGACAATAAAAGGCCACTTTAAAATGTGCAGTTTTGTCACAACACAATGCCAGAGATGTCTCAAGTTTTGAGGGAGTGTACAATTGGCATGCTGACTGCAGGAATGTCCACCAGAGCTGTTGCCAGAGAATTGAATGTTCATTTCTCTACCATAAGCTGCCTCCAATAAAATTTTACAGAATTTGGCAGTACATCCAACTGGCCTCACAACCGCAGACCACATGTAACCACACCAGCCCAGGACCTCCACATCCGGCTTCTTCACCTGCGGGATCGTCAGAGGGAGGGTGGGGGGGTATGCTGAGGAGTATTTCTGTCCGTAATAAAGCCCTTTTGTGGGGAAAAACTCATTCTGATTGGCTGGGCCTGGCTTCCCAGTGGGTGAGCCTATTCCCTCCAGGGCCCACCCATGGCTGCACTGCTGCCCAGTCATGTGAAATCCATAGATTAGGGCCTAATTTATTTATTTAAATTGACTATTTTACTTATAAGAACTGTAACTCAGTAAAATCGAACTGTAACTCAGTAAAATCGTCCCCCCCTACCCACAAGGCAGGCAATACGCTTGACCTCATCTTTACTAGATGCTGCTCTTCTACTAATCTCACTGCAACTCCCCTCCATGTCTCCGACCACTACTTTGTATCCTTTTCTCTCTCGCTCTCCTCCAACACTACTCACTCTGCCCCTACACAGATGGTAATGCGCCGCCGCAACCTTCGCTCTCTCTCTCCCACTACTCTCTCCTCTTCCATCCTATCATCTCTTCCCTCTGCTCAAGCCTTCTCCCTCCAATCTCCTGATTCTGCCTCCTCAACCCTCTTCTCCTCCCTTTCTGCATCCTTTGACTCTCTGTGTCCCCTATCCTCCCGGCCGGCTCGGTCCTCCCCTCCAGCTCCGTGGCTTGATGACTCATTGCGAGCTCACAGAACAGAGCTCCGGGCAGCGGAGCGGAAATGGAAGAAAACTAAACTCCCTGCCGACCTGGCATCTTTTCACTCCCTCCTCTCTACATTTTCTTCATCTGTTTCTGCTGCTAAGGCCACTTTCTACCACTCTAAATTCCAAGCATCTGCCTCTAACCCTAGGAAGCTCTTTGCCACATTCTCCTCCCTGCTGAATCCTCCCCCCCCCCCCTCCTCTCTCTCTGTGGATGACTTCGTCAACCACTTTGAAAAGAAGGTTGACGACATCCGATCCTCGTTTGTTAAGTCTAATGACACTGCTGGTCCTGCTCACACTGCCCTACCCTATGCTTTGACTTCTTTCTCCCCTCTCTCTCCAGATAAAATCTTGCGACTTGTGACTGCAGGCCGCCCAACAACCTGCCCGCTTGACCCCATCCCCTCCTCTCTTCTCCAGACCATCTCCGGTGACCTTCTCCCCTACCTCACCTCGCTGATCAACTCATCCTTGACCGCTGGCTATGTCCCTTCCGTCTTCAAGAGAGCGAGAGTTGCACCCCTTCTCAAAAAACCAACACTCGATCCCACTGATGTCAACAACTACAGACCAGTATCCCTTCTTTCTTTTCTTTCCAAAACTATTGAGCGTGCCGTCTTTAGCCAACTCTCTTGCTATCTCTCTCAGAATGACCTTCTTGATCCAAACCAGTCAGGTTTCAGGACTGGTCATTCAACTGAGACTGCTCTTCTCTGTGTCACGGAAGCTCTCCGCACTGCTAAAGCTAACTCTCTCTCCTCTGCTCTTGTCCTTCTAGACCTGTCTGCTGCCTTTGATACTGTGAACCATCAGATCCTCCTCTCCACCCTCTCCGAGCTGGGCATCTCCGGCGCGGCTCACTCCTGGATCACGTCCTACCTGACCGGTCGCTCCTACCAAGTGGCGTGGCGAGAAGCTGTCTCCGCACCACGTGCTCTCACCACTGGTGTCCCCCAGGGCTCAGTTCTAGGCCCTCTCCTATTCTCCCTATACACCAAGTCACTTGGCTCTGTCATATCCTCACATGGCCTCTCCTATCATTGCTACGCTGACGATACACAACTAATCTTCTCCATCCCCCTTCTGATAACCAGGTGGCGAATCGCATCTCTGCATGTCTGGCAGACATATCAGTATGGATGACGGATCACCACCTCAAGCTGAACCTTGGCAAGACGGAGCTGCTCTTCCTCCCGGGGAAGGACTGCCCGTTCCATGATCTCGCCATCACAGTTGACAACTCCATTGTGTCCTCCTCCCAGAGTGCGAAGAGCCTTGGCGTGACCCTGGACAACACCCTGTCGTTCTCCGCTAACATCAAGGCGGTGACCCGATCCTGCAGGTTCATGCTCTACAACATTCGGAGAGTACGACCCTGCCTTACACAGGAAGCGGCACAGGTCCTAATCCAGGCACTTGTCATCTCCCGTCTGGATTACTGCAACTCGCTGTTGGCTGGGCTCCCCGCCTGTGCCATTGAACCCCTACAACTCATCCAGAATGCCGCAGCCCATTTGGTGTTCAACCTTCCCAAGTTCTCTCACTTCACCCCGCTCCTCCGCACACTCCACTGGCTTCCAGTTGAAGCTCGCATCTGTTACAAGACCATGGTGCTTGCCTATGGAGCTGTGAGGGGATCGGCACCTCTGTACCTTCAGGCTCTGATCAGTCCCTACATCCAAACGAGGGCATTGCGTTCATCCACCTCTGGCCTGCTGGCTCCCCTTCCTCTGCGGAAGCATAGTTCCCGCTCAGCCCAGTCAAAACTGTTCGCCGCTCTGGCACCCCAATGGTGGAACAAGCTCCCTCACGACGCCAGGACAGCGGAGTCACTCACCACCTTCCGGAGACATTTGAAACCCCACCTCTTTAAGGAATACCTGGGATAGGATAAAATAATCCTTCTACCCCCCCCCCCCCCCCCCCTAAAAAAAAAAATATATATATATATATTGTAAAGTGGTTATCCCACTGGCTATAGGGTGAATGCACCTATTTGTAAGTCGCTCTGGATAAGAGCGTCTGCTAAATGACGTAAATGTAAATGTAATTTTACCAATAATTATACAAGGCTCTGTTAAGAAAGTCTGGGCAAGTTAACAGTTCCTAATACCAGCCTAACTCACTTAAAGCCATGTCCGTCTGTCGTCTGCACTATGAATCAGCAGGACTGAACTCACTACATTATGTCTGGCTGGCTGCAAGCTTAAGGGACTGCAAGACTGTAATCTTGATGGAGAATAATGCTCAAATGTTTTACTGCGGCTCCGGGCTTTTGGCAGACAGGCCATTCTGACAGGCCAAGCAGAACCCAGGCCTTTTATCACAGGGACTAGCAGCATGTGACTAATCTGGCGCCGACTGGATCAGCTTAACATACATATGAAGGGGAAGTTCTAAAAGCTCCAAAGAAGGACAAATCCCTGGAAAATGGAACCATTATAGTAAAGTTCCCCCTTTATGAATTCCGAGGCATGCGAGAAGAAGAGTTGACACGCATAGCTCAGAGGTTGTCTTTCTACAGTAGGCTACAATGTTAATGTGTTTTGCCAGTCTTCGACTGCTCCAATGACTTACTGCTCATGTACACAGAAAAGGTGTGTGTGTGCAAATGTGCTGACCTGTACGAAGCTGAACTCCCTCCAGTTGAGAGATTTGCCCACGGTGGGCAGTGAGGAGATAGCCAGCAGAGAGAGCAGGCCCAGGGCCAGGATGCCTATAGACAGATACAGCTCCATCCTCCACACCTTCTCCTCTACCCACGAGTCCTCCTGGCCTGCCTTCACCTGCACAGCAAACACACATTGTTGCTTACTGTGAGGTCAGGTGGTTACACTATAATATGCATAATCCATTACAAATGTTTTACCATATTGAAAACGTTATAAATGCTGATGAGTAGAAATGTTTTTAATGCTTATGTTTAGACCCATACATTTATACTTCAATACTAATTCATTTATAGTATGTAGGCTACACTATTTATAAATAGTTTGATGACGCTTTCTCACCTGTTTGAAGGCAGCATTGAGCAGACTGTAGCGTGCAGACCTGCGCATGGGCAAACACAGGCTATAGACGGCATGCAGGGCTGCGCAGAGGAAGGCACAGAGGCCCAACTGCTTCCGAAGCTGCAGCCAGCGATCCAACCAGTTGGGGAAGCGCCTGTACTTGGTGCCCCACGACAGCTGCAGGAAGGCAGCCACGAGGCCCGGCAGGTAGACCAGAGCCAGGGTCACCAAGGCCACCGAGGGGAGAGTCACGTTTACCACCTCCACCGGCATTTTGTAGAATGCGCTCTTCCCCGCCGTGGCGTAAGGGTGGATGACGTCACGTAGGAAGTTGTAGGCGTAGAAGAAGAGGAAAAGGCAGAGGGTGGAGAGACAAGGGAGACGCCACGAAGGGAAGAGGTACAGGGGGGTGTTCTCTATCTCCTGGGCAGAGGAGAGGCGGCCCATGTCAACAGGGATGAAGCCTAGACTGCGGCAGATCTGGAGTACAGCGCTCTTGGCCCTACTGCTGTCACTGCAAATCAGCACCTGGATAGTAAAGAGAAGAGTGTCAGCTAAGGGAAGGGAATCTTCACCAAGGAGAACCCAACTGAAGAGACACTATACTTCACCAATAGCCTACCCTACATCACATCGTTTAGCTACAGTGACATCGTATGACCAACACCTGTGAGAATATGGTTGCAAGATGAGAATGTGTGAAACATCTAACATTACATAAACTGCAGACATTGTCCGGTTTAGAGCAAAAAATATATAAAAACTGTACGTCCAAATGTCATTCAGAGTAGTAATGTCTGTCTGTCTGTCTCTTCTCTGGCACTGTTGTGTGTTCAGAGGACTTAGGCCTTACCTGTCTGCTGCCGTCCCGTGGCCCCGTCTGCAGGCTCCAGGCCGAGATCACATTGAAGCCCTTCACCACACTGCTCTCTGGGAAGATATCGGCCAGCTGCTCCGCGTAGGACTGCTTATCCCTGTTGATCTTAGTACCGTTACTAACATCCACCAGAATCTTCCCCACTAGCGGCTCCCTCAGCCCAGCCAGGGTGGAGTAGTGCTCGGGGAAGAGGGCCACGAACACCAGGTCGGCCTGGGTGGCAGCCTGGTGCTGGGTGGTCACCTCAGCCTCCTCGGGAAAGAGGGAGGCACAGCGCTTGGGGTTGCGGCTGCCCACCACCACCCGGTACCCGGAAGCTACCAGCCCGGTGGCTAAGGAGCGGGAGAAGTCACCTGTGCCCAGGATGCCAACCAAGGGGGTACCTGGATCGGAAATTGAGGTTTTGAGGTGTCTGGGGCTGGGGCTGGCACCACCCCATATTAGAGGCTTCTTCATCTCCTCCTGGGGCATCCTGTCCTGCGCTGAAAAAAACAAAAGGTCACTAACAGTGTCACATGTCTATCAATAGACAATTGTGTCTGTGCAGCATTCAATGTAAATATGATTTTGTTATTGACACAAATTAACACTGATGTACTACTTGATTCAACTGGCAAACTAGCTAGCTAGCTAATGCAACCTGCTTATAACTGCTATAGCTAGCTAGCTAACTAACTAACTAACACTACTACTACTACTACTACTACTACTACTACTACTACTACTACTACTACTACTACTACTACTACTACTACTCCTCCTCCTCCTCCTCCTCCTCCTCGCAGGCTAACGAAGTTACTAGCTAGACATCCTTTATTTGTGCACACCTCTTGCAGGTGTACTGCCTTCAATACTTAGACAATGAGGTATTGAAGCCAGGGCTACGCAAATTGATATTCTAGCTAGCTACTCCTACTCCAAAGGAGAACTCATGTTAGCTAGCTAACAGTTAGCTAGCTGAGCTGGCTACCTACCTGTCCTTGCTTGGTTGAACGCAATGCTAGCTAGCTAAGAAAGTTAGCTAGCTAACATTTGGGCAAAAATATAGAACACAGAAGTACCAACTATTTTCGACAAAATTGGTCAACTTCTATAAATGTCCTATGTATACTTTAACTAACTAGCTACAGCAAAACAGTAGACACAAATAACTTTTTAATTCATCTTGGTTGGCTCACCTCCTTTCTTGACGTCTGTGTATTTTTGTCCTGTGCTCATAACTTTGTGACGCAGAAATCTGTCCCCACCCCAACCGCGCCTCTGTGTGAAGAAGATAAGTTCCTCGCCAAACTGACATGAGAGCTGGACCTACAGTAGGCTAGGACTGGCCCATTAAGTTAACAGTAGCTACAGTATAAGTTATTCCTAGCAAGAAGACAGTAGACAACCCATAATTAACATGGTTCGAAAAGCTCTGACTCTTATGTAAATTGATTGCAGTGTCTATGGGTATTTAGAATTTTTATTTCAAGATGTTCTCTGTGGTGCATTAATTTTACATTGGATGTTTGGCTTGCTGTATCACAAGTTTATTTTCCATGGGGATCTTAAATGCTGTTGTTAAAAGTCAGCCCTGGGATTTACTGTAAATTAAAAACATAGGCCCACTAAAAGTAAAAGGGAGATTTGACTGCAGGTCAGAGGCTGTCAACACAGCTGTAACAGTCTGCCTTTGCCAGCTGTAGAAGGTTAAATGTATCCTTCTGGCTTACATGGTTTCCTCTCTCTCTCTCTCTCTCTCTCTCTCTCTCTCTCTCTCTCTCTCTCTCTCTCTCTCTCTCTCTCTCTCTCTCTCTCCTCACATAACCTACATTTGTCGATTTTCCATCCATTTGTAAATTATGGTTATTGATGGCTAACACTTGGGATGTTGAAGTAAAGTAAAGCACTGGAATTGAAACTGTCATTTTGTGGCTATGACCTATGATGGAGATATTGTAATCTAATTTTGGAAGGTCATGTGACATTGATTGTGCAATTTGTTTTGACATGAGTAGGCTACATCTGAATGTTATGTGACTCCAGTGCCATGCCACTCCTATGAAATGATAAGTGATCTAATGAGAATGAGATATGACAAGGTTTTGTCTCTATCCAGATTCAGGAGATTCAAGGCTACTTGATTCAAGGCTACAGTGCATAGGCCTACATAATGTAAGTAGGCTAAAGACAATTAACCAACGACTGTAGCAGTCCGTTCCATTTCATAAGATGGTTATGAAGACATTTCTGTCAGCCACCGCCTTATATTGCTGCAGCATTTTAGGCCACTTTAAACTCTGACTTTACACTCCGAGATCCGTTATGGCATCAGTGTTTGTGGTTAACTTTCATCTCAGCAGACAGCTCTATCTGGGCTCATGTTGGATGCCAGGCATGTCCGAACTATTTCCCCGCCTGCCTTGCTCCCAAGCCCTGGCTGCTCCTCCGTATTACTGTAACCTTCCCGGCTCCGTCGGTCAAGATGAGCGTGGAAAGCTGGGATTTCTGTGGAAAGCCTCAGCCTTGATCACAGAATCACACAAATATATGACCATCAGCAGCCGTCCGTGACAGATTTGGAGTGTAATATCACACTGATCCATCTTGTAATCTATAAATCACAGAGCATTTAATGTGATTCATTGGAAATAAATGACTGTCTTTGATACAGGACCACATTTTTTTCATGAAGATTGTATACATATTTCATATACATTAGCCTATGTTTCAGTCTATTTTAACATCTAAGATTTCCCTTCATGCCAACAACTGTAAGAATGCATTTGCTGGCCTCCTGAGTGGCGCAGTGGTCTAAGGCACTGCATCGCAGTGCTAGAGGTGTCACTACAGACCTGGGTTCGATCCCAGGCTGTGTCGCAGTTGGCTGTGACCGGGAGACCCATGAGGTGGCGCACAATTGGCTCAGCGTCATCCTGGTTAGGGGAGGGTTTGGTCGGCCGGGATGTCCTTGTCCCGTTGTGCTCTAGCAACTCCTTGCGGCGGGCTGGGCGCATGCACGCTGACATCGGTCGCCAGTTGTACGGTGTTTCCCGCCGACACATTGGTGCGGCTGGCTTCCGGGTTAAGTGAGCAGTGTGTCAAGAAGCAGAGCGGCTTGGCGGGGTCGTGTTTCGGAGGATGTGTGGCAATGGACCTTCGCCTCTCTCTCGAGTCCGTACGGGAGTTGCAGCGATGGGACAAGACTGTAACTACCAATTGGGGAGAATAATGCATTTGCCTACCAGCAGCAGATAACCATTGTCACATTCAGTTTGCTTATAGTGAGGTGTTAAGTTATTTATCTTCTACAACATGTTTTAAGTTTTTAATGTAAAGATTTGATTTGTAACAGAACAAGGGACTACCGGTCACTCTGTGACCTCTAGGGTCAAAGGTCAACAGAAATCCAGCCAAGTCTAAAAACCTTCCTCCACGTCATCCACTGGCACCATGTCAACCACTGCCCAAATCTTTTCATTATGAGCTGGGCAGTGGGCACTAATGCAGCCCAGGGGACCATGACTCTGTGAGTCCAGTCTTACTGCATCAGATAACGCAGACTGGGCTGGAGAACTGGGTCAGGCTAGAGTTGGAGCCTGGGAGCAGACATTTATAGCCAGCAGTAGCAACGCATGTTCAATGTGTAGACAATGGAACACTTTGGTGCTTCAAAATCGGACACATACACAGAGAGTGGCGCAGATCAATGTCAAATGCTGTGTTTAGCTGGGATTCGATCTTTAATTTTGCTGAAATTTTGCTGATGATATTTCAATGGGCATTGCTCATTTGAATCACATAATTTCAAGAAATGTATTGCATTGTACCAGTTATTATTATTCACCAACTACTTCTCAGATATAGTTCAATGTGTCAAATCGGAGGGCCTGTTGTCTGGACCTATGGCAGTCTCTATGGGGGTGCCACAGGGTTCAATTCTTGGGCCGACTCTTTTCTCCGTGTATATCAATGATGTCGCTCTTGCTGCTGGTGACTCTCAGTTCCACCTCTACGCAGACGACACCATTTTGTATACATCTGGCCCTTCATTGGACACTGTGTTAACAAACCTCTAAATGAGCTTCAATGCCATACAACACTCCTTCAGTAGCCTCCAACTGCTCTTAAACACTAGTAAAACTAAATGCATACTCTTCAATCGAACGCTGCTGGCACCCGCCCACCCGACTAGAATCACTACTCTCGACGGGTCTGACCTAGAGTCTGGTTAGACTGTAAACTCTCCTTCCAGACTCACATTAAGAATCTCCAATCCAAAGTTAAATCTAGAATCGCTTCCTATTTCGCAACAAAGCCTCCTTCACTCATGCTGCCAAACATGCCCTCGTAAAACTGACTATCCTACCGATCCTTGACTTCGGCGATGTAATTTACAAAATAGCCTCCAACACTCTACTCAGCAAATTGGATGTAGTCTATCACAGTGCCATCCATTTTGGCACCAAAGCCCCATATACTACCCCCCACTGTGACCTGTACGCTCTTGTTGGCTGGTCCTCACTACATATTCGTCGCCAAACCCACTGGGTCCAGATCATCTATAAATCACTGCTAGGCAAATCCCCGCCTTATCTTAGCTCATTGGTCACCATAGCAACACCCACCCGTAGTATGCGCTCCAGCAGGTATATCTCACTGGTCATCCCCAAAGCCAACACCTCCTTTGGCCGCCATTCCTTCCAGTTCTCTGCTGCCAATGACTGGAAACGAATTGCAAAAATCTCTGAAGCTGGAGACTCTTATCTCCCTCACTAACTTTAAGCATCAGTTGTCAGAGCACCTTACCGATCACTGCACCTGTACACAGCCCATCTGAAATTAGCCCACCCAGCTACCTCATCCCCATATTGTTATTTATTTTGCTCATTTGCACCCCAGTATCTCTATTTGCACATCATCTCTTGCACATCTATCATTCCAGTGTTAATACTAATTGTAATTATTTTGCACTATAGCCTATTTATTGCCTTACCTCCATAACTTGCTACATTTGCACACACTGTATATATATTTTCTGTTGTATTTTTGACTTTATGTTTTGTTTTACCCCATATGTAACTCTGTTGTTGTTTTTATCGCACTGCTTTGCTTTATCTTGGCCAGTTCGCAGTTGTAAATGAGAACTTGTTCTCAACTGGCTTACCAGGTCAAATAAAGGTGAAATAAAAATTTACAAAAATATTCTGCATGTTCCTAACTAAGGTTGGATATGCTGGGCTATGTGACGTTTGATTGAGTCCTCTACCTCCATTGGCATCTGAAAACATAGCATCCTCCTGACGAGTTGTGTGATTAGGGACATTGTACCTAATGACTGTATCACAGGGCAGCAGTTCATTGCAATGACCTCCATAGCATGGATAGTGGTGCACCATCCCGTCCTCTTTCCCTTGTTTTGTTATCGCCCAAAGGTGTATTGTACAAATCCCTGGGAAAGGTCACATCAGCAGCCATGTGAGTAATGAGGCAGTAAGCATTTATCCTTTGTTGATGGAAACAAATGTGTTTCTACTGAACTGGATGGAGCACAGATAAGAGTTTGGTTTCACTTGTGCTAAATGAAACAGGTCCAACTTAATATACAATTGATCCTCAGATAAAAGCTCATACATTTTACTTGTATTCTTATGTGAGTGGTTTGGTGTATTTCTTTGATTGATTGAAATGTAATGGATGCTATATATAGAAAACAGAGGGGAGTTTTGAGATCCATTATACACATTGTGGATCATACGAGAACCAGTGTACCGGAGATTCCTTTCCTTTTCAAACACAACAGCTTGCCATGTCTTTGGCCACTCAGAAACTCTACATCGCCTTGAGTTATGCAGTTACTCTGATGTGGGTCAACCATGTCATGTTGTCCTTCTCTTTGAGGAACTGTTTGATCTGGACTTGAAATTACTCTAATGCAAACCTACATACTTTGATGACCACTAATCTCTTTATGTGTACGTTTTCAGTGACCTGTTACTATATCATTTTGGATTTCGAGATTAGCGAGATAATCCAGATAGCTAAAGTGATAACATGTGATTGAATCTGTCTTGGAGATAGCCAGGCCTGTTGCTGATGAAATGATAGCTCAAGTCCACCCACCTCCTAAGGGATATGTCTGGATCTGACATTGTGCCAGCAGCCAGCATCAGCTCACGTCCTCCACGTGTTAGTCTATCAACAATGGGACTCTGATAGTGTTAGGTTGAATCACTCTTTTCGTGTCTGAGATAGAGAAATTATGTTTTCACATGCAATGGTGGGAAAAGCAGGACATCAATTATGTGGGCAATGTAATCTTGATATGGGATGTCCATCACCTTATTTGTGTGGGTTTATTCCTCTTAGAAAAACCTACCAATATCACAGAAATACAAACATTTAAACTGGCTACGGATTCACACATAATTTTGGTATCTTTGGTATCCAATGGACTGATAGTGTGGGAGTGCTGGTTTAACATCTACTGTAGTTACAATGAATAAATAACAGGCATAAGCAAACTTTGTCTCATTGGATTTTATAAGAAGTATTATAAGCACAAGATGCTTGAGTTTATTAATTTTTTCTAAGTATGCTATGCTCCACTGCATCCTTTTTTTCTGGCAAAATAGCCTATGTGAGAAAGAGAAAATTAGTGACATCCCTTACCACAAACATAGTTTACTGTTGAAAAGGTGCACATATATCAACCTCAGAATTACATTGACTAAAATAGATTAATTTGGATTGTTGTGGCAAAAAGGTGAGCTGGATAAAATCATGTAGTACCTAAAAAAAGCCTTAAAATGTCCAGGGGAAGAGTCAACAAACGTAGAAGTCCCAGGGGTGGACATGTGATCCCAACAGAGTCCGATTCACCATAATCTGAACACAATTCAGGAGAGTCTTAATCAATTGTTAACTAAATGTAAACCATGTGCTAGAGAAAAAAAACATTAATTGAAGTCTGAACCCTGTTAGGATATAGAGTAGTCAATGGTGGACATTATTTTGCTCACCAGCCCAATCAGGCTTGTTACAAGAGTAGAGAGGATATTTACTATCCAAAAGGTCACTTACCTTCCGGCACACACATCGGTGAGAGAGGTCTGAGAATGTGAGCCAGGGCAGTGTCTGATATTCCAGGCCCAGCTTTGGTAGTTGTACCTGGATAACCTGAATATTTGAAATCCTTGGCCCTTTGGAAACCCTGTGGTGGAGGTGAATGGAAGACATTCTGGGCCCTTTGGCAACCCTGTGGTGGAGGTGAATCAAACCAATTCTGGGCCCTTTGGCAACCCTGTGGCGGAGGGAAATAATCCGATAGGCAGGGAGGAGGTGGAGTAGTTTTGGTCTGTGTTTGTCTTTTTTTATGTTGCTTCAGCAGACCCTTCAGCTCAAACATGACATGCTTCATAATTGGAGAGATGGGCAGCTCAGCCACGATGGGCTTCACTGGTGGAGAGATGGGAAGCTCAAACATGACGGGCTTCACTAGTGGAGAGATGGGCAGCTCAGCTACAATGGGCTTCACTGGTGGAGAGATGGGAAGCTCAACCATTATGGGCTTCACTGGTGGAGAGATGGGAAGCTCACCCATGATTGGCTTCACTGGTGGAGAGATGGGAAGCTCAACCACGATGGGCTTCACTGGTGGAGAGATGGGAAGCTCAACCATGATGGGCTTCACTGGTGGAGAGATGGGCAGCTCAGCCACGATGGGCTTCACTGGTGGAGAGATGGGCAGCTCAACCACAATGGGCTTCACTGGTGGAGAGATGGGAAGCTCAACCATGATGGGCTTCACTGGTGGAGAGATGGGCAGCTCAGCCACGATGGGCTTCACTGGTGGAGAGATGGGAAGCTCAACCAAGATGGGCTTCACTGGTGGAGAGATGGGAAGCTCAACCATGATGGGCTTCACTGGTGGAGAGATGGGCAGCTCAGCCACGATGGGCTTCACTGGTGGAGAGATGGGAAGCTCAACCATGATGGGCTTCACTGGTGGAGAGATGGGCAGCTCAGCCACGATGGGCTTCACTGGTGGAGAGATGGGAAGCTCAACCATGACAGGCTTCACTGGTGGAGAGATGGGCATCTCAGCCACGATGGGCTTCACTGGGAGAGATGGTTAAGCTCAAATATGACATGCGTCACTAGTGTAGATGATGGCAGCTCAGCCCACGATGTCTTCACTTGTTGGAGAGATGGAAGCTCAACCATGAATGGGCTTTCACTGTGCTGGAGAATGGGAAGCTCAACCATATGGGCTTCACTGGTGGAGAGATGGGCAGTGCTCATTCCACGATGGGCTTCACTGTCATAGATTGGGAAGCTCAACCATGAATGGCTTCACTGGTGGAGGATGCAGCTCAACACGATGGGCTTCACTGGTGGGAGAGATGGGCGCTCACCACGATGGGCTTCACTGGTGCGAGAATGGGCACTCAACCACAATCTGGGCTTTCCTGTGGAGAGTGGGAAAAGCTCAACCGCTGATGGGCTTACTGGTGGAGAGATGGGCAGCTCAGCCACGATGGGGCCTTCACTGGGGGAGAGATGGGCAGCTCAGGCCACGATGGGCTTCACTGGTGGAGAGATGGGCAGCTCAGCCACGATGGGCTTCACTGGTGGAGAGATGGGCTATAGATAGTGGTATAGAAAGAGAAGTTTAGTCCAGAAACAACATATAATCAATTACAATGTAATAGACGCATGGCCTAAAACATATCTGTTTGCTTACTTATGAATATGCAAACCATAATAATCATCCCCTCCCTCATCATTCATTCTAACTCTGCTGTCTCATCCAACGAATAAACATACCTGTGCCCTACTCTGTGAGAACAACAGGGTAACACAATACCACATGAAGAACTTAGATTGGTACTCCTGACACTTCTGCCATGCAATCTCAATCATCTCCTCCCCAACGCTACAGGAGAGGAAACACACCAGGTTGTTTAGAATGTGTGGAAAGAGGCTTCATACCGTGGATACGAAACAGTCTTTATATTTCAGATCTGAACTCAATCTAGGTACTCTGGGTAATCCAGGTAATCTGAAACTCCATTACATTGGTCCAACATCTCAATCAACTTCACTGTAAAGGCAGTGTAATCATAGCACTCCAAATCCCAAAATGAATGTATCTGGTGGATTGTGTAGCTGTGCAGATGTCAATGCTGTGTTAACGAACAAAGTGCTTACTTTGCAAGAGGCCAAGGGGATGCTGCGAGGAATCCAGGCTGGTCCTGTGGGCTCTGCTGAGGGAGATCAGAGGAAGTAGGGAGGGGGAGATGGGCAGGAGCATCGACAATCTGAGAAGAACCAGCCTCTATTTCCCATTTGGCCCCTTGACCAGGTTGATCCTGGTCATACTTGTACGCATACTCATAGTTGTACTCGTTGTTGTTTAGGGTCCACCTCTCTGTAAAAAGAATGAGAGCAGAAGCTTGATCCTCTCATTTCCATAAAGGAATGGTAATACAATGATTAAACCAAGACCCAACAGAGGTGTGAAATGCTTACCCCAATGGCCATGTTCTTCATTCCAGTGGAAATATCCATAATCATCGCCCACGTAAAACCCGTCTGCATCAGCCTTAACAACATAATCAACATGGAGACAGTCAGGTGAGAACAACTTTAAAGAGCAAAACCTGTTATCAAAGCAAAAAAGCTGGAAGGTACAGTATAAATTGAATCCCTTTTAATGTTCTCAGAATGTATTGGAGAAAACATTATACCGAGACCTTTTAAAGCTAGAATCCTTAATTGAAACAATAACAAAGCGGGCACCCCACCTCTCTTTTGGTAAAAAACTAAGGGATGGGCCTGGAGAAATATAACCACTCTCAAATTCAGACAGAGCTGGCCATCCATGATATCAAAATTACAGTTTTAACCATGTTTTAAGGTTATACAGTGTTGTTTTCATTACATTTACATTGTTTACACACATTGGAGTAAAACAAGCTTCTATTTTGGGTTCTGATGGGGTACATATGACAGTTGAATTAAGATCATGAGGCATTTATAATTATATTCTTCAAGAATCAAATGGGTATATATCATTAACCTCTTAAGGATCGTACACTTTCTTTTGCCTAAAATGACATACCCAAATCTAAATGCCTGTAGCTCAGGACCTGAAGCAAGGATATGCATATTCTTGATACCATTTTAAAGGAAACACTTTGAAGTTTGTGAAAATGTGAAATGAATGTAGGAGAATATAACACATTAGATCTGGTAAAAGATAATACAAACAAAAAAACATGTGTTTTCTATATATTTTTTTGTTCCATCATCTTTGAAATGCAAGAGAAAGGCCACAATATAATAATGCTGTTTAGGAACAATTTAGATTAATCAGAGCAAGATTACTGAATGTAACGCACATTATTTACCTTCAGAGAGGTGAATGTATCAAACCAGTTGCCGTAGAGGTTAATTAATAAGTCCAACAATGGATGTAGCAACTAAGGGTTCTAGTTTTAAGGAACCAAACAGCTAACGTTGGGAATATCTTGAAAAACTCCTGATCCCAAACGGGGACCAAACTGGAACGTTTCCAGTCCTAGACCTATGTCCCTGGAATCTTCTGACTGTAACATCATACTACTGACATTCCATGGACCAAAAGAAAACGTATTGAATGTTGCCAGAACTTCCTGGAGAAATACGTTACATAAAGAACATTATAAACTGGGTGGTTTGAGCCCTGAATGCTGATTGGCTGACAGCCGTGGTATATCAGACCGTATACCATGGGTATGACAAAACACTTATTTTTTCTACTCTAATTACGTTGGTAACCAGTTTATAATAGCAATAAGGCACCTCTGGGGTTTGTGATATATGGCCAATATACCATGGCTGAGGGCTGTGTCCAGGCACTCCACGTTGCGTTGTGCTTTTGCGTCGTGCATAAGAACAGCCCTTAGCCTTGGTATATTGGCCATATACCAGACCCCCTCTGGCCTTATTGCTTAAGTAACCCACTGGGCACAGACATAATTTCAACATCTAGTTTGGAATTCAGTTTGGTTGAGTTGTCAACTAAGGTGAATTCAACTTGAAATCAACAACAACAAAAATCACTGGGTACTTGCTAACTCTGGTCAATGGTGATAGTGTGGAGAAACTCACACTACCGCCCTGAACCAGAGCTAAATATGCTACTCGCTACCGCCCTGCTCCAGAGTGAGGTGTTTGATTACTCACATTATATGGATCCATAGTTGCTGGATCCATGGTTAGCCAATCTTCAACACAGACGCACCATCCAACATCTCCGGTAAAATTTACGGTAAGGTCTCCAACATCCGGAACAACAGACCGTAATGGTTTCAAAGAGTGATCCAAGTAGTAGTCTCCAGAAACAATTCGTTGCTACTAATAAACGAAAATCGATTGCTCAGGGTTATTTATAGGCTAGATAACGTCACAATACTAATCGTCAGATTGGAACTCACAGAGATTCTGTAGCTCATTCTGTAAATGTTTTAACTCTACTTTGAGTCATAATGTAAGTAATTACACTGCACGCGACCACTATTGACATGGGACGGGTTGTTCATTTGAGTCAAATATTTGGCCACTTCCTTGTGTTTGTTTATAATTGAAAATCAATAAACAATTTATCGTAAAGTTTTGGTCACTCACATTTGTCTCGATTGATTGTTTCTAAATATTTCCCGCAAATGTTCCACTAGTAGCCTAGGTCGAGCCAACAAGACAAAATAGGTTTCAAGGGAACACCACAGAAACACATTAAATTAATTGTTCTAGGTATGGGAACACTCTAGGGAAGACACGCTAGGGACGTGAATAGGAAATGTTAGTCTGTCTGCATTACCAGTGTCTATTGGTAGCTTAATTACAGACCAATCACAGGGATGACCGCGATAATGTTAGCTTGCTGTTGCTATCTTAGCTGCTGAACAGGTGTGATGTAAACCAGCCTCTAAACTGAGGCGGGCTCCTGCTTCCAAACCCCTACAACTCATCCAGTCCGCAGCCCGTCTGTGTTCAACTCCCATTCTTTCAGTCTCTCCATCCATGTTTCCATTGAGCCCGCTCTGTACAGACCATGGTGCTGCCTATGGAGCTGTAGGGGACCCCACTCGTACCTTCAGGCTCTGATCAGTCCCTACACCCATGCGAGGGCATTGCGTTCATCCACCTCTGGCCTGCTGGCTCCCCTTCCTCTGCGGAAGCACAGTTCAAAACTGTTCGCTGCTCTGGCACCCCAATGGTGGAACAAGCTCCCTCACGACGCCAGGACAGCGGAGTCACTCACCACCTTCCGGAGACATTTGAAACCCCACCTCTTTAAGGAATACCTGGGATAGGATAAAGTAATCCTTCTACCCCCCCCCCCCCCCTAAAATATAAAAAAAAAATATATATATATATATATATTGTAAAGTGGTTATCCCACTGGCTATAGGGTGAATGCACCAATTTGTAAGTCGCTCTGGATAAGAGCGTCTGCTAAATGACGTAAATGTAAATGTAAATAAGGATTAACAGATTTGTTTCAGTCATGAAACCGTCACTTTCTTAGAGATTGAAGACAGAATACAAGAATGTGTGAATGTAAATGTAGGTTGACTTGGATGGTTTGGGGTATGCCATTTGTTACAAAGGGGAGGTGACGAACTAATATTTAATGAAACAAATATTAGATAGGCCTACAGCAAAATTACTAAATTGTTATGTTGCTTTTAAAGCGCATTGATACATAGGCTAAATGTTTTGATGCATGTGGATTTCCAGTTGGGCGCCAGCGTCCTAATGATTGGGAGTGGTGCTGAAAGGACAGCTACTGCACCATACACAGAGCCTTTCGTTTCAGCAAAATAATGGCTATTCTGTTCTATTTAATTATATGGGGACACGTTCTGTACAACCACATGGTGTGCATGTTTCAAAATATAAATGGATCAAAAGTGTTTAATGCTTTCTAATTCCATATGCTCCTTGTTGTAATATGAGGATTTGTAATTCATACATAAAGATTGCCCGATTATTGTTTCGATCTTAATCCAAATTGCAAAAGGCTTTACTCCGCATGTGTTACGTCAGCGACCCCCGTAGGACTGGAATAGAATGGGAGCGCTCCAACTCAGCGCTGAGAACCAGCGCGCGCCCATTCATGCCAAGATGTGTACCTTTCGTCTGTCTGCTCTGTGAGGCAGTTATGATACTGGCACGACTGCCTAAGGGTTATGGACAAAACAAAATAGAATCGTTTCATTGAGGAAGAAAATATATTTGGTGTCTGTTTTTTTCCTTCTAATTACGCACGCAAACCTTCCACTATTACTCCTCCAAGCTCAGCTGACTTTCTATCGCTTGCTTCTCGGATAGTCCAGAGGAAGCGACTTGTGGCCGCTGTGGTTGGCATCGTCATGGTGTTGGCCCTTATCATAGCAATACCACTGCTTGTGCAAAGTACCAAGACTTCGGCTCACTATGAGATGATGGGCACCTGTCGAATGATCTGTGATCCATACAGTTCAAAACCCGCCAGCGCCACGGCCATGGAGCTCATGCAGGACCTGAATGCTATTCCGCCGCCGCCAATGGCGCAAGGCTCCAAAGGTGAAATGGGGCGACCTGGGAAACCGGGACCAAGAGGTCCACCGGGAGAACCAGGACCTCCAGGCCCAAGAGGACCACCTGGAGACAGGGGAGATTCCGGGAAAGCTGGTTACCCCGCGGTAACGTCAGGGACTGCAAAGACCAAAACGGACATGGACGAGGTTAACACGGCACTCAGTGACTCTAAGGTTGCGTTCTATGTCGGGTTGAAGAACCCACACGAAGGATATGAGGTGCTTAAATTCGACGATGTTGTCACAAACTTGGGAAATCAATACGACCCAACCAATGGCAAGTTCACTTGCCAAGTGTCCGGAATTTATTTTTTCACATACCATGTGTTAATGCGAGGCGGCGACGGGACAAGCATGTGGGCAGACTTGTGCAAAAACGGACAGGTAAACATGATTTCATCCAATTAGCATATACGAAAATATTGTTTTCTCATTCAAGAATTTATTTGAAAACAATTTATGTCTTAAAAATACTATAAATGCATGCAAAAACCCAAAGGGTATGGAGAAAAACGTATACTTTACGCACTAATTTAACGCACTCACTTTATATATATTTTGGCTAGTGCACTTTTCGGCTTTATAGTAGGACATTAAGGCCCCTTAGCATCTGCTTAGCCATGGTGAACTCAGTTAAATCGGGCAGGCTATACATGAGATTACCACAGTAAAGGCCCCGTGTAGCTCAGTTGGTAGAGCATGGCGCTTGCAACGCCAGGGTTGTGGGTACGATTCCCACGGGTGGCCAGGATAAAAAAAAAAAAATCTATGCACTCACTAACTGTAAGTCGCTCTGGATAAGAGCGTCTGCTAAATGACTTAAATGTAAAGAAAGGCTTAAACTTTTAGCTGATTAAGCCCTTGTTCCCCCTACTGTGATGTCCAAAGTGACATAATAAAACCTATTCTACGAAGTTGTAGTGGAGGAATTTGTCTGACCATAACTGACGAAATGTCCAAAGTGGTGTCCCAAGTGACATAATATGACCCAATCGACAAAGTGGTAGTGGAGGGATTTGTCTGACCATAAGTGACGAAATCAATTAACCAGAAAATATAAAGTTAATGAGGAAAATACTTATTTTGTGTATCCATTCCATTACACAGGTTCGGGCAAGTGCTATTGCACAGGATGCAGACCAGAACTACGATTACGCAAGTAACAGCGTGGTTCTACACCTGGACTCTGGAGACGAGATTTATGTCAAACTGGACGGTGGCAAAGCACACGGAGGCAACAACAACAAGTACAGCACCTTCTCTGGATTCATTTTGTATCCAGATTAAATAGCCTGACAAGTTTTAGGCTATCCATGACTCTACCTCCAATTGAGGTCCAAACAGAACTTCATCGTTTATTTCGCTCTCTCATTTCCTTTGGAGAGCAGGGTGCTTGTAATGGTCTTCTAACTACTAATAATATATAGGATAAATAGGCTATATAGCAGTTGAGGTCGTTTGATTGAATGTGGCAAGATGACTTTATGCAGCAGTTTGTTTTACTCAATAGTAACACCTTATGTGGAGAAGTAGCCTATATGTAGCTAAGATCAAATGCACAGAGATAGAATCAAACATACAAAACCAGTCTTCGGTATATTCAGAGTCCAGAGTTGTGTTTTATTTTACAGCATTAGGCCAATAGTGCATTATATTTTGTCCTCATGTACCAATAAATATTATTTTACAGTATGTCTCATTGAATGTTTTTTCAAATATTACATTACATTTTAGTAATTGAGCAGAGGCTCTTATCCAGAGCAACTTACAGTAGGGTGTGCATATATTTTCGAGCTTTTTTGTACTGGTCCCCCGTGGTAAACGAACCCATAACCCTGGCGTTGCAAGCACCATGTACTACCATCTGAGCAACATTGGACCACAGCATGGTTGAGTCTTATGGACCAACGCTGCAGGTTAGAATGACAACCTGCCAACCAACACTAGCGCTAGCGAAAATACTCCTCAGTTATAAATTCTATCATCAGAGTCAAGACTGAAATGTGTGATTTTCCTTCACACATTTAATGTTTTCCTTAAGGCTTTACTTCAACATCTTATGGTGAGGATCCTTATTTGCTCAATCTCCACAAGGTTAGTGCCTATTTGACAAAGGAGGTGATAATAATCTGCCCGTTCTACTACCTGAGGCCACAGGTTTGTTTAGATTTCGTTTAGTTAGGGTTGAGGTTAGGAATGTGGTTAAGGTTTAAGGTTGGGGTAAAGATAATGACTATTGGTTCTCATAAAATAACCCACAGAGGCCCACATGTAAAAATACAACAGTTTACTCTAGAATACTACAGTACTTACTATATAATTATATAGTAAACTGTAGTATAGTGTAGAAAACTATAGTACACACTGCAGTATCCCTCAATCATGTGTACTACTTACTATAGAATGTTGTAGTATACTGTAGAATACTATAGTAAATACTACAGTATTATCCGCAAAGACAACACTGTAGTAAATACTACAGTAATGTCAGAAAGAAAACTACAGTCTGCAAAAACACTACACTTTTTAAACTATAGTAAATACTACAGTATTTAATTTGCATAAACACTGCCCATTCCCCTTACCCATATCGCAATTTGTGCCACCCAGACCTGAGGAACCTACATGGTAAGTCTAGACCATATATTGTATTCCCTACAGGTTATAGGAAACTATCCATTCAGACCCCAGTCCTACCTACAGGTTATGGAAAATGTGTTATTTTAGTATTTCTCCAGTAGGTAGAAAGCCTCCACTTCTATGTCAAAGATAATAAAACAAAACACTATAGTAAATACTAGAGTAATGTCCGAAAAATCACTACAGTAAATACTACAGTATAGTACAATCCACAAAAACACTACAGTAAATATTGCAGTATACTCCAATCTGCTAAAACTTTACATTAGTTACTGTAGTATATACTACAGTTTTATTTTACTACAATATTTATACTATAGTTAACTGTAAATAGTACAGTATACTACAGTATACCACAGTAAATATTACAGTAAAGGCTACAGTAAATACTACAGTATTCACCTCATTGTTTTTACATACTTTAGCAAATTCTTTATATTTTAGATTTTTGTGAATACTACATTAAAGTATGCAAAAACACTATAGTGACTATACTATAGAATTTATACCATAGCATCCTATAGTATTTTTTTATGTGGGGGAATAGAGGCTTTTTTCATACATACATTCAAGCATTACAAACCCATAGATCACATATGCCTGTTTGTCTCTGGTTGGAAATGGTGGGTGTGAACATAGCCGCTGGAAGTAGGGGTGCTGAGGATGCTGCAACACCCCCTTCTTTTTCACAAAATAAGTACACTGGGCCTTTAATAGTGCTGTATTAGCGGACCAATATAGCCCGTGAGAGAGTTACAGTACAATATACATTATACAATATACATGAGATTGGGACAAGGGTTTTGCTGGTGCAGTGAAAACTTGTACATCCAGTAATGTAATAATAAAACAAGCAAATGGACTTCAGCTAAAGCTTTTAACTTCTCAGATATACAATATGTTGTCATCTGTAGAAACTGAATAAGATTGCTGTAATCATTAGACCTCTAATGAGGGGCATATTACTATTAGGTGACTGCTGTGGTCCATCTACAGTGCATTCGGAAAGTATTCAGACCCCTTGACTTTTTCCACATTTTGTTACGTTACAGCATTATTCTAAAATGGATTACATTTATTTTTTCCTCATCAATCTACACACAATACTCCATAATGACGAAGCGAAAAAAGGTTTTTAGAATTAAATAAATAAATAAAAACAGAAATACCTTATTTACATAAGTATTCAGACCCTTTACTATGATACTTGAAATTGAGCTCAGGTGCAACCTGTTTCCAGTGATCATCCTTGAGATGTTTCTACAACTTGATTGGAGTCCACCTGTGGTAAATTCAATTGATTGGACATTATTTGGAAAGGCACGTACCTGTCTATATATAAGGTCCCACAGTTGACAGTGCATGGGCCTTGTTCAGGGAGGTGACTAAGAACCTGATGGTCACCCCAGAGTTCCTCTGTGGAGATGGGAGAACTTTCCAGAAGGACAACCATGTCTGCAGCACGCCACCAATCAGACCTTTATGGTAGATTGGCCAGACAGAACCACTCTTCAGTAAAAGGCACTTGAAGTTTGCCAAAAGGCACCTAAAGGACTCTCAGACCATGAGAAACAAGATTCTCTGGTCTGATGAAACCAAGATTGAACTGAAGTATGGTGGTTGCCGCATCATGCTGCAGGGAAGTTTTTCAGCGGCAGGGACTGGGAGACTAGTCAGGATCGAGGGAAAGATGAACGGAGCAGAGAGTACAGAGAGATCCTTGACGATAACCTGCTCCAGAGCACTCAGGACCTCAGACTGGGGCGAAGGTTCACCTTCCAACAGGACAACTACCCTAAGCAAAATTTGCAAAAATGTCTAAAAACCTATTTTTGCTTTGTCATTATGGGGTATTGTGTGTAGATTGATAAGGGGGAAAACAATTTAATCCGTTTTAGAATAAGGCTATAACGTAACAAAATGTGGAAAAAGTCAATGGGTCTGAATACTTTCAGAATGCACTGTATATTCCCAGATGCTGTTGCAATGCTGTCCTCGTATTCCCTTTCTACAACAGGCTGTCATTGGCTAAAGAGCATGATAGATGGATGTGGTGTTTAAGTTGTAGGAAAGAGAGAGAGAGAGAGAGAGAGAGAGAGAGAGAGAGAGAGAGAGAGAGAGAGAGAGAGAGAGAGAGAGAGAGAGAGAGAGAGAGAGAGTTCATTGTGACGTATCATCAAATCAAATCAAGTTTATTGGTCGCGTACACAGTTTAGCAGATGTTATATAGTAGTCTGCGCTCCAGCAGGTATATCTCACTGGTCATCCCCAAAGCCAACACCTCCTTTGGCCGCCATTCCTTCCAGTTCTCTGCTGCCAATGACTGGAACGAATTGCAAAAATCTTTGAAGCTGGAGACTCTTATCTCCCTCACTAACTTTAAGCATCAGTTGTCAGAGCACCTTACCGATCACTGCACCTGTACACAGCCCATCTGAAATTAGCCCACCCAACTACCTCATCCCCATATTGTTATTTATTTTGCTCATTTGCACCCCAGTATCTCTATTTGCACATCATCTCTTGCACATCTATCATTCCAGTGTTAATACTAATTGTAATTATTTTGCACTATATCCTATTTATTGCCTTACCTCCATAACTTGCTACATTTGCACACACTCTATATATATTTTCTGTGGTATTTTTGACTTTATGTTTTGTTTTACCCCATATGTAACTCTGTGTTGTTGTTTTTATCGCACTGCTTTGCTTTATCTTGGCCAGGTCGCAGTTGTAACTGAGAACTTGTTCTCAACTGGCTTACCTGATTAAATTAAGGATAATTTAAAAAAAAAAATATATATATATAGTGGGTGCCGCAAAATGCTTGTGTTAGTAGCTCCTAACAGTGCAGTAAAACGTCAAACAAGTACACAAATAATCAAAAAACTTCAAACAAGAAATCAATAAATGTCAGAAAACCCAAATAATGCTGAATCAGTCATCCAAATGCAATCTATCATGGGAGGTGAGTGATGGTGGATGTGTGTAGACCTGGGTCATGTTCAGTAGGGCACACCATAGCAAAACAAAAAGTAGCATTTCTTATTGGTCAAGTTCAGATAGTACCTCCCTGTCACAAAATGTTTAAAAACATTTTCTTCCAACTGAACATACCCCTGGATAGGAATTGACTGGAAAGTCATGAAGAGTCCTTAGAAGAACCATGTCTAGCCAACAACATACTTAGTTCCTGAGAGGATGACTGTGTTGTGTCTCTAAGTGATGATTTCACCAGCTTTTCACCCGGAGGCAGGCAGATTAAACAGCTGTCTATCAATTAAACAGCAATCATGCAAAACAAATATTAGCCAGTCTGGTTCAACATGGCTCTGGCTAAGTTGTTGATTTATTTCACTGTGTTCAAGATGACTGAATTCATACCCTACTATTATCGCCAAAATAACCACCCTGCTAAAAGCCATTCTGGCATGGTTTCATCAAATACACTCAATGGTCAATATGGACAACTCTTGTCCATTTCCTTTTTACATGTGGACTATAATGTATGCGTCTTTCATGTATCCTACTCATTACCAATGGTGTCAAAGTTCTACCAACACATATTACACACAGAACATCCCCTGGAGAGTGTTGTGCTGTGTGTGGTGCTGATACCTCTCATCACCCCGCCTCATCACTTAAGGGAGGAAGTGGAGCTGCCTGCATCGACTCACCCAAAGACATCACCATGCACATTTCAAGATTCAATCTAATCTAATAGGTACGTAGTATTTACATTTTTAGTCATTTAGCTCTTATCCAGAGCGACTTACAGTTAGTGAGTGCATACATTTTTCATACTGGCCCCCCCGTGGGGATCGAAGCCACAACCCTGGCGTTGCAAGCACCATGATCTACCAACTGAGCTACAGGATGTTGTATGTAGCTATACAGACCCCATCTGGGAGAGCTGTGGGTTAGACATTCCTATGTAAACGTCCTGCTGTAATGTCATGGATAGAGATACACTGAGAGCCTGACAGTTTGCAGAGACACTCATAAGTATGGTGGAAGCCAGGGGGCAGGCAGCTAACAAGGTGACAA